AGCATGTGTTTCATGAAATGCATCAGTAATCATTTCATGCATCCTATCATGATCTTCACCCTGAACTTGACTACTTTGATAATCATTGGACGCTTCAAAATCCACATGTTCTTGATGATTACTACTACTCCGTGCAGCCATCTGACCACTACTTTGACCATATCTCTCTCCATGCTGATACCAAATAAAGTATTGGGGCATGAACCCTCTATTCAATAAATGCTGCCAGACAGTGTCAATAAGAATATGTTTCCTATTTTTGCATTTCACACAAGGACAATACATTTTGCCGCTTTCAGTTACAGTTTCCAGAAGGCCGGCTTGGTACATGAATATTTCCAATCCGTTTTTGAAGTCTTCAGTCAACGACCCATCACCATTTTTGGGCGTATACATCCACTTTCGTAGATCGTATATAGACATTTCAAAAACAAATATTTGACTTTTTGTTTCTGAAATTTGATAGAAATTTCAACTACCAAAAATTTTACTTAAACATTCAAAGACTCAAAAAATTTGTGTCTTTATATGTTTTTTTGGGATGATGGAATAATGAGAGAAGAAAGGGTATATATAGATTTTTTGGTTTGGTTACCAACATATTACCATTGCATATTTACATCAAATTTACGTCGAAATAAAATTTACATCACATTTACATCGATTTTACGTCAATTACAAGATAGAGGACAATTCGTCGTATTATCGATGTAAATATTACGACAAGATTACGACGAAATAAAATTCGTTCTTTATTCGTCGTAAAATCGTCGTAATATTACGACGATTTTACGAGGGTTATTTTTTACGTCGAATTTACGACGAAATTTTTATCGTCGTAAATACGACGTAATGTCGTCGTAAATTTACGACGACTACAAATCGTCGTAAATAATTCGACGGAAAAGCCCCTCTTTCTTGTAGTGAGAGTATATTTGTATATTGTATTAATTTCTTAATCTGTGTGAAATATGTCAGAATGACACTTATTATGAAACGGAGGGAATAGAAATCTTACAAGCCGACCTTTTTGAATTTACGAAATATAATGGCATTAAACGAGGATCTAATTTTGAATCTTGTCTGACTGCAAATGATTTTTTTATTAATCTTGAAATATTTTTATTAAAAAAAAATTCATGTTTTTCTTCATTGATGTTAACATATCAAGTATAGCAGCAACAAAATAAAATCACATTTTGGTTCCATTGACGGTGGAAAAAATCGATCAATATTTGCATAATGCCATAATCCTTTAATATGTGCAGACTGTGCAGTGGTCTACTGATTAGCAAGTGAACCGATAGCTAATTTTCATTGTCAAAGTAAACGAACCTAAATAAATAATAAAGAAAAAATTTCAAAATACCACATGTTTTTTAAGTTTTTTTTGTTAAATATTACTTAATTTCATATTAAAAATGACACAAAATAATTTTAGCCACGTTAGGAAAATAAAAATCTGCCACGTTATTATTCTGCCGACATATAACGAGGCCTAATGGAAATTTAGTTTTAACTTTGGGCCAGGAACAAAAGCCCAAAAACCGTATTTGACGAGAAATTACAAAACCATTTTGTTTAAGCGATTGTAAGTTATTGGTTTCCTTACGTTTTACTGGATGAAATTTTAGAGATATGTTTAGGGTTCATACCATAAACATTAATGCCGTGGATTTTATAAGGAAATAGTACGTCAATAACCTAACAAAAGTGATTAGTGTGTGTTCCAATGGTCTAATTTGAATAGGTGGATGACTTGTCATGTGGATAAAAGGTAGGGATCTAGTTCCACCGTCTACGAATATGGTTTCCTCTTAGACTATTACAGACGCCTTAAATAGTAAGAATCCCAGATTTTTTACATACATCCGGAAATAGTTTAAGTTTCTTCCCGAAATCAACCTTGATTACCCAAAAAAGATTGATTAGATCAGGTATATTGCGCAAAACAGTCACCTAAGTGCCTAAAAGTAGTAAAGTACATGTAATAACAGTCGTTACGTTACGTTAAATATTTTATGGCAGTTTTATAGTAGTATTAAAAATTTCGTAGTGACTCCTTGGTTATTCATATTTTATGCCAGATTTTGAGCTCACCACACGCAGAAAGGTGACGAGGAAGCAGATAAACATCAAAAGACATTACATTGGGTGGGAAGCCAGATTTTTTATTTGTAACTACCTAAATCAATTTTCTGAAGTGTTTCTAACTTAGTTGACAAAAAAAGGTGTTTGTTACTTAATAATGCTCATGTAGTTGTGTGTTGTTAGCTCTTTGTTGGATTTGCACTGGAAACATACATTTTATCACTGCGTAATGTACCTGATGCTAAAAGTAGAGACTAGTTTTGGTTTTATACCACATGGATTCTGCATAAACTAATTTTTAAATATTGACATATGTAATCTTTTTTTTTTTTTTTGCAAACTTGTAAATATAATACAAAATGAGAGTGTGTATCCTACAGAGTAAGATACCTATATATGGAACCTTGGAAAAAAGAAAATAAAAAACAAGGCACCAGAATGAAAAGATTTCTTGTGACATATGTAATCTAAAATAGTTGTATAGTAATAGACAAGAAACAGGGAAATAAGTATCAGCAGAGATGGGAGTGAAAACATAAACAAGAAACAGAATTTATCATCATCGATAAAAGTAGTCCACAAATCTTGCCGTACTTTCTAACGAACGAACGAACCTAAAAAATTAACAAGTTCAGACTAGACATGGGATATATGGGAAGCTACAAACACAAGAAGTTGCGTCTCCTAATAATAAAATAGTAGACAACCCCAAAAAAAAAATCGATTGAATTAAAGTGAATTAAGGTTTCTAGTGGTCGGTGAATTACTTCAAGGTTTATTAATATTAAGTATCCACATGGTAGCCAATAGGAAAATGTGTGGAGTGAGTTTGAAAAGATCCATATGGTAAGTCTCAATATATGCTTTCTTCTTTGAGTTCGGAATTCAAGAGTTAACCAAACATGCGTCTCCTACTCACTGGTTATAGTGGTCGGTGTAAACGCCTAGTGGCTTTTATTTTATGGCTTTTATTTTATTTCTTAATACGATTGCTTATATATAAACTAATCATCTTCTCTCGTTATTATAACGTATAACTGTATAAGGATTGGCAGTACAGATTCAGCTCATAGTCTTTTGATTTTCTATTCAGTTTTTTAACCTTGTTTATTTCTACCGAACTCTTCTACCATAAAATATTTTAACTACGCAATGACCGTTTAAGTATTCAAGTGTGTGTAATAAATACAAAATTACAATCATTCTGATCGATAATAGTAAAATAACAAATCATTCAAAATAAAATAATATACGAGTCCAATTGCAAAATCACTAAGTAAAAAATAAAAATACTTAATTTACATGCGGAAAAGTAATACTTTACTATAGATCTAAGTTCTGCAAGTTTACAAAAACAACAAAAATATGTTTTTCATTATTGTGTGATTCATATAAACACTATAAATTAACAAAATAAAAACATGAATAAGCCATTTACATAATACTAATCATTCTATTATTACGGAGAGTGATGAAAAGATTTTTTTTTAACTCTTGAATTCTTGAATTTGTATATGCATGATTTCGCGTATATGAATTGTATCTTTCAGAGCTATTAAGTGAATATTCAATATTGATAACCTTTCACTTGATGTTTACAAGGTTAGATCTAACGGGCAGAATTTAGCTTTACAAAAAATCAAGATTTTTGTTTTAACTATCCGATTAAGATCTTGCTTCGAGTTGTTAATTAAGGTTTGTGATTCGGAGAGCAGGAATCGACAAGAATGAAAATTCTGACGAACCCAGCTGTCTTATGCTCTTCCTTTTTTTCTTATATATATTCAATCAAAACAAAATAATCCAAAATACATAAATTACAGTACTGAAATGCAAATTCTCAATTCCGTTTAAAGCAAATCATTGAGCGTTTCTTAATTCCTTCATGACCAACTCCAATCTTTTACAAAGCCGACGTTCGTTAAATATATACTACTCAATAGCATCTTATTTATAAGACTTTTTGTTATATTTTTTTCTAATGTCGTTTTGTATCTGGTTTATAATTAAGCATTTGAGCCATATTACTAATTACTTGTTTTTCTAGATATTTTCTAATTTTTCTAGTGTGTCTTACAATGTTAGCTAACATGTACGATACTTAAGAATAACTCATATCAGTTTCTAAGTTTTCTAGTGTGTCTTACAACTATTCACGCTGTTTTGTAATAATTGTATGATTATTTTAAATAACTATTCATGTCTTTTTTAACCACAGTCTGATTATTTAAAACAATTATTATGTCTCTTTAACTACTATCCGGTTACTTTAAATATTTATTTATTAATACTTTAAACATGAATTATATAATTATAGAATAACGGTGGGTTTTTGGGATTAACTTGAATTTATGTTGTCCGAAACACTCAATTATCTTAGAAAATAAAAAAGTATATAGCTGCTTAATTCTATCGAGTGGATCCTTAAATTTATATACTAATTCATGCGACAATTTGTCGTACTATAGTTGTTAGCCATGATAAACTCAAGCATAATCACATAGGTCTACTTTTCCCACCACATATCATATAAGTCATTTCATCTTGCACTTTCGGACTCATGCATGTTTTGTGTAAATTTGAATTATTAAATACAGTTACATCGATTTTTTTTATAGATAGTTTATAGTAATGGCCACTTAGTTCCTCGGTTCCACCTAAATAATTTCACAACATACTAACCGATTAAGATATACCAGAATGGTTTGTAGCAGTATTATCGACGTGTCATCGTGTGGATTCAAATCCAGTAGAACATTAACTAAAACATAACCGATTCAAATCGTATGTGTTGCATGTTGACAATAACCGAATCATAACCAACTACATCATTTTCTTAAAGACATGCACCCAACAGAAGAAACTTCTTTTATATTATAGGAAACAACAGAAGATACTTTGATTGATTGATTACACGATCTCAAAAAGAAAAGAAACAAAAAAACTGATGGACCGTAGCAATAGAGTTTGAGGTAGAATAACAAGGCATCTGTTTCAACACCACATAGCACAAAAGTAAAGCCAGTTCATGTCTGTCTTGGAACCTGTCGATAACAAAACAAAAACAACAAAATAACAAAACAAAAAAACGGGTTCTTATCAAATTAAACGAAAATATAAAGGCTAACTAATTGATGAAAGATCTCTTCAGGATTCCATAAATTCGAACTATTTCAAGGAGAGAAAGAAAGAAACCCTAATGCCGAATCGGATTTTCACACTCAAAATCATAAGAGAAGCAGTGATAGCGAGGAGAGAGTTGCCCAAATAAAATGAGAAGAAAGAGTAATATTTTCCCAGTAGTGTGCCGTTTGCCAAGAAACTCAATAAAATTGTTCACTGCGTAACTATATAATGTTATTATTTAAAAAGAGTAATAATTTACCTTATAAAATAAGTAAAAACTAAAATTTATATGTTAGAATTTCACATTTAGAAAAGTATTAAAATAATATATAGGAGACGTATATTAATCCACTCTTTATTAATCAAATTTAAATTGAAAAAACATATGAACATTTTAAAAATATAATATTCCATAAACGGTTGTAGACATAAATTAATGATTGTAGACTTTCATTTTAATTTTAATTGTCCTTGACTAAATTGTAGTAAACAGAAACATTTATATCATAACATGAATCCTGACAGAATATAATAAAAACTAGCACTTCGGAAATTACTTGTTCAAACTGGTATTTGAAAATACAATGATCGAATACTAACATTGTTATGACAAAGATACCAGCTTAAAAACAAATTTTAAAGTAATATTTATATTATTGCTTTGGGCATACTGTTTTCAGCATTATTTTTATCTGTTTGAACAATAGATTGTAAATTAAATGTTTTATTGATAAACCTAAAATTCATAGGTTTTTTATTTTGTGAATTCAGTGATACTGTTAAGATTTTATTTCATAGTATATACATGTATATATTTATTTAAGGACATGAATTTTTTTAAAAAAAATAAAAAAACTCCAAAACTCGTAACTTTGATCAAATGTGAAAAACCTCGTCAAAACATTAATAATTCAGTTACAGAAACTAAAGTCTTAAAAAAAAGCATGATTTATTTACTGCACAAACCGACACTCATCAAGTAGACTTATATCTTCTATCTCTTACGAAAGACTTTAGATTATTAAACTATAATGATTTAAATATGTTGTAGCAGACAATTTAGGACTTTACCCCAATTGGGTTCCATCTCGTTTCCTATTTTCAACAGCAAAGTCAGGATCGAAAGATGGAGAGAAGAGAGAGAGAACCAAGAAAAATATTATAAAATTAGCTCAAAAGCACAATGTAAGAAAACAATTCACGAGGAATAAGATCAGAAATAACACAAAAGCAAAAAGATATGTGAGATTGATTTATTACCAGGAAATAAGCTTCACCATGTTGTAAGTTATGCATCAAAAAACCAAACCCATCAGTAGGAAGAGGAACACCTGAGGAATGCACCAAAACCATATCTCCTCCAAACGTTGCTTTCATGTCTATACCTCCGCTCGTCACTTCTGTCGGAACTCCGTTAATAAACACCGTTATAGACCCTGAATTTCAAAAATATTTTCATTCATAATATGCAAAAACAATCAGAGTGGAAAATCACCTATCAAGATCAAGCAATTTTGGAAGAATAATTAACCTAATGCGACAAGAAGTCAGTTTTTTGGTTCAAACTCATCTGAATTTTGAACTTATTTTTTCCTTAAAACAACTTTTATTAAAAAAAAAAGGATTGTGATATCTAGAGAGGTGGTTTCCTAGAAAATTTAGAAAAATGACCTCAAAATTTTGTTATTGTTATATATATATATATAAGAAAAAAATAGATTAGAGAACTGGCTCTCAAGTGAAATATAATTAACCAAAAAGCTATTATAAAATCCCCCAAATAAAAAGAGTCGTTTCTCTGGTTGAAATCCACCCAGAATTGGATTTTTTATTTTTTATTTTCGTTCAAAACAACTTTACAATTATTTAATTGTTACTTGGAGAAACTTTCTGGGGAAAGAGAGAGGGATTAGAGGATAAAGCACTTGAGTTTACAAAGCAAAAAGAGGCATGCAAATAATTTGGTTTTGTTTACCTTGTTGGTAATGATAATTGGAGCTTTGATCAGATGGACACAAAATTGATGTGCCATTTGAGCTAGGATGTTGATAATGAGGTTGACCGGCTTCTTGGTAACCCATTTGACCAGACATTGTTAAGAGATTCTCAATGCCACTATTGCTATGATTATCACATCCACCGCCATAAGAAGAAGAAGAGCTAGCTGAAGAAGAAGTGGAAGATGAGCTTGAACAAGAAGGAGGAGAAGAAGAGAGACCGAGAAAAAAGGAAGGAACTTGAGATGACCCACCAAATAAGTAATTAGAAGAAGTGCTACAACCTCCAAACCCCAAATCACTCACACTATGTTGTGGTAAGCTGTTGCTCACCATCATGGTCTGGTCACAAGTATTGGTGGTTGCGACCGCGGCTGCAGCTGCGGCCTGGAGTTGCCGCTGCCTTCGGCGGGATCTTGACCGCCGGTTTTGAAACCAATAGAAGACATTTGCATCTCCCACCGCGCCGAATTTCTCTAGCATCTTTCGTATCCTTACCGTCTCTTCTTTGGGAGGGTTAACCATACCACTGTTGAAGATCGACTCAAGTATGAGTATTTGTTCCGGTTTAGGTGACCATCGTGATCGAACTGTTTCCGTTGAGGTGGAACCAGAGGCAGAGGAAGAGGGTGAGTGACTGTGGCCGGTTGGGCTATGTAGTTTTTGTTCTTGGTCCATTGCTTTCAAGGATATCGCAATTGTTTCGTTGGAATTCCTTTTTTCTCTGTTGCTTATGGACTACGGAGTATAAAAATGAGAAATGTTTTTGTGAATTAGTGAGAGGTGGTGACTTAAGGGTTAACGCATGAATTTATAGGAGAATGATTTCTAAATAATATATTTTTTCCTTGTTTATTAAGTTACATGTACAGTATATATTTATCTTTTAATGGGTTCGTCAGAATATACTTGAATTATTTAAGCGTGTATTTTATTTTTGTATATAGGCGCTAAAGTGTACAAGACTAAGTCTTAACGCGTACTGGGGGATACACAAACAGTGGAATTTGCTTGGCATTTGAAGATATAGCAAATAAGCAAATCATCTTTGACCATTGGCCATTGCAACTAGGGAGAGTCATAGCTAGTGTCTCCAACAATTTTACCGTATTTCTTATCCGTTTAATTTTGATTTGCATGGGCAACCAATTTCATTATATATCATTTGGGTGGTTTAACGTTGGCTAAATACGTTCCAATAATCAAAGGTCAAAAAAAATAATCAAGGACTTAAACGTAACTAAAAATGTAATTATTAATAATCACACCATATTTTGACCTATAAGTGGAATGTGGATGAATAAGGTGCTGGCACGTAAAAATTAGGACTACAGAATAACTCTAATGTGATTGTAACGGAATTCCAATTTGGTTATACCGTTCACATGAAAAATTAATAAAAAATTTGAAAGAGGAAGTCGTCAATCGGTTATGATTGTCCCTCTTTCTGCTCTATAAATCATCAAAGCTGAATAAATATTAAATTTATATTCTTAGTTTTGAAAAGCAATCACTCGTATAGCTTGATGATCAGGTTCTATGAACGAAAGTTGACACTGTCCCGACAATGTTTGTACAGTGGTCATAGTCTACATAGCACATTTAACATAAGTTATACATGTAGACAAAAAAAAAAACATAAGTTTTACATTTTCTTAGTAAACACTCTGTATCTGGTTTACCAGACGATTTCGACGGCTACTGCAAGTAAACATTACATACATATTAAAAAAAAAGACAAAGAGAATAATATAAACATACATTTTAAGAAAACGAATGTGAATTCATCATCATTAATAAATCATAACACTAAAATTTAATACTTTTACATGTTATAGTAACCGACGTTTAATTAATTAAAATTACACAAAATAGAAAAGAAATTCAATAAAACAAAATTTGTATAGGTATAAGAAGAATTTCCACTGTTTGTTTTTTCTAAAACTAAAAAAGCTGTTTATTGCATATTAGTTTTAATTGTCTGCACCCATCTAAAAATATGAGCTGTTGATCGAACTCCTATCTGACTATACTACTTCATCAGGAATTTCATGTTAAATTAAATTTTTAGTGAGTACCTCAGAAAAATGAATTCTACTGCTCCTCTAATAAAATTGTTTGCATCTTGTTGAAAGTATTGGCGTTTTAAAATTTACTAACAACAATGTGTAGATATTTCCCCGCATCCAATCAACTCCCTATCGTTACCTAGTTTGTATTTTCTTTTCTGAAATTGGACGTGTTTTTGGCGTCATGCAACAGAGACGCCTAAAAGATTTTTTTTGTCACTTCCTCGAAAGAAATCGAAATGTTTCCCGTTTTTCCCTTTTTCTTTGTCACTAAGTTTTGAAAATTTATAAAATGAGGAAAATCTTTGTAGGGGTAGTTTCGTAAGAATAATTTAATCAATTGCGCTGATAATTAATAAACTAATAGTTCTGTCAACTTAATAAAATTAAATATTGATAAATCAGTTGATCACCATTGCGCTGATAATTACTATGAAAGCAAAACTTAATTATCAAAATTTAAGATGCATTAATATTAATTATTTGATTAGATTCGACATAGTTTATAGCTTACAGTATTTGAATTGCTCTACATAAGATAGATAGTGTAATCTTTGGCATACAAAAAAAGATAGAGAGTAATATAATAACCGAACTAAAATATTCAATAGTACTATTAGAAAAAAAAGTGTGTGTTTTTTTTAGAAAAAAACGTTACGAGATTTTAATTATTTTTTTCTTCAACTTTTAATTTTTTAATTCATTGAATAGTACAAATTCACTGATAGATAATCTCAAAAATACAAATTCACTGACTTTAAAATAATATCACTAACGTCCCATACATATATTCAATTTATAAAACATATATGATTGATAAATTTGTTATAAAAATCTTTGACATGGTCAACATATATATATATATATATATATAACAGTGAATAATATTTTCTGAATAAGTATATAGATAAAATAATATAACTATAAAAAAAGAATAATAATAGAGTAATTAACTATGAAGGACGATCCAAACCGAAGGTCAAGAAGAAACCGTGAAATTATTTATTACCTATGACGTTACGCAAACATGGCTTACAGTGGGTAGCCACTCGATTTCTATTTTGTACGTGCAACATATTATTATAATTGACAATGAGTATTCTATATATTTGATCTATTATATTTTTCAGTTAAGATTTAATTGAGCTCTTCCAGTAAATATATATTTTACTAATTAATATGTTTATTTTATTCCCATGAAAACCCTGATTTTTAATTTTTATTTGGTTTATATCTAGCCTGTTTTTGGTAGTATCAGAATTTTGGTCAAGTCTCCAAAAACGATTAGTAAATATTATATATATGTCATAATAGATCAAAGGTGTTGTACGTAAAATAATAATAAAAATGATGAGAAATGGATATTTAGTTTCTCAAGGGCACCTTGGTATTGAGTCCAGAATTCTGATCAAGCATATGAACTGTTCACAAAATACAAAGTAGAATATCAAAAAGTCATTTTCTTCGTGACACAGTCTAACCACTATGAGTCTTCTAACCTACTAAATTACTTCAACTAATAAGTGGAACCAAACATCTCATCTTATGGTGTATTGGATCTTGGAGTTGATCATTAATTACAGCTGAAGTGAATGTGATATATAATTCATTGCTCATAAATACGTTGTTATTTCCCGATTAGTGAATTATGTCATACCATAACGATTATGAGAGTAGAGTTGCACATATGCATGCACGTATATTAAATATAAATATTAAATGATAAAGGAAACAAAAAATCGATCTGTAAATTAGTGTGTGTTCAGTGTATATATGTTGCGTGGGAATGGGGTGTATATTCAGTGTACTATGATGTCTGATTGATCGAAAGCTTTCTTTCTATCAATTTTTGGTTAAGGAGAATGAATTTAATTTTAAATGAACAATAAAATAGTCCGTACATAGGTGAGTGTGCGAACACGTATGCAGAAGGTAGAGTGTAGAAAGACACAGTAGGAGACAACTTGCTTCTATCAGATGCCCTCTGTTTTTGCCTGTATTTGTATAGCTGTTTTGGTACCTTTTTTTTCCCATCTAATTGTTTACAACATATATAATTACGTAAAAATTTGTCTGTTTCTCTTCTGTTTATTTGTTTGTTGTTGTTTGTTGTTTTATGAGTGGACATATTATCCAAAAATCTCCAGGTTCGCCTCATATATTTAGAGAATTGGCTACATGCATACATGCAAATACGAGTATTGGTCACACACAAAAAACGAGTATGATGAAAAAAATAAATAAATACGAGTGTGGGTTTGGCTACCCGTACCCGAGACAACATAGTATATAATTTTTTTTTAATTATGTTATATTATATACATATTAACAAAATTATTATTAGTTCAACGAAAGATTAATAGGAAAAAGGTGAGGAAATTTATTGACGTAGGCGACTAGTCGTAGATAGGAACGTATGTAGATACAATATCTCTAGAGGTATATATATATATATACATGTAAAAATATCTGTCAAGAAGTCATAGAAAACAGGCACAAAAAGGTTTGTAAAAGAACAAAGAACTGGGTAAGCTATTGAAGACAAGCAATACCCAGTTGTATCAAATCAATATGATCCAGAGAAAAAATCTCAGATCTGCAGAATCTCCACCCCTTTTTACATAATTTTGTAAGGAAAATAACACGGTCTGTATCATATGCTATCCTCTGTAATGAATAGCATATGTGAAAAATAAAATTATTCTATAATCGTAATGCGCTAAAAAAGGTTTAACATTACCCATAAAGAAAAATAGAAAATACAAATTATCATAAAAGTCAAAAAACCTCATTGTGTTTTTTGTTGTTGTTGTTGATAAATCGCGACGCTTCAACTATTTATATGTATAGAAAAATTGAGGATATATAGACGCTTCGGTCTAGCCGAGGATATACATATTTGTTTTGTTATTGAAGTTGTCTCAGATTGGCATGTGATAAATCCCAAAATGAAAAAAAAATCAACGCCTTTTCTAAACGAGAATCGAACTAGAGATTTTAGAAAGCATAACTTTTGGAAGATTTTTAAAAGGCCACTAGTCCAACATTTATCTGGTGATGATATATTTCTATGTTACCGCACAAATTCTTCCTTCGGTTTTGTCTGGCCGAGGATATATTTCTATATATGTTCATCCACGAAACATACTTGCGCTCAGAATAAATCATATCAAGCGACCGCAAAAGAAATGACATCATCATACATGCCCACAGCAACAGTTCGGTAGTAATATAGTGTTTTTGTTATATAAATGCTAATTGGCATTTTCTATCAAGTTGGTATATAAAACATTTTTTAGTTTTTGTCTCGTAGATTTTTTTTTTTTGTTTTTGATAAAATTAAAGGGTTTCTATAAGCTTATATACATATGGATTCAGGGGGACACCGACCAACATGTGGTTATGCTTTTAGGGTACAAGTGTGAGTCTCTTTTGTTTGTTTATCAACGTGTGAGTAATAATAATTGTGTTTCACCCGCCCACATAAAATCCACTTCTTTTGGTTAATGTCCACGCACAAAAGAAAAACCTTTGTTGCTAAAGTGATAAATTGTCTACAGAGACTTAATCTTTTGGAAACATGCAATTATTACTGTTGGATATTTAATACTATAGTTTAATAGGTAATTCATCTATTTTACCGTTTATCTGTTCGGCATTGTTTCAATTTATCGGGTATTTCCGGATAGACTGTGATTCATCTCTTCCTTTATTATCGTTTCAACTTTATTGTAAATTTTGTTTTATTTAAGTTTTCAAGAAAACTCTATATACGGATAATTAATTCAATCGAAATTGAGTGGACATTACGATGAACTACGTTAGACATGCAAGAATATATTTTGTCGAGAAACCTGATCATCGTATGATTTTTCGGATGCTATGATTGTAAAGTCCCTGTCGAAACCATATATATTTATATATGGAGCTCCCACACCCATTCTCAATATCCTCATATGAAAGTTAGTGTCCTACTTAGTAAAATTTAAAGATTTTCAGTATTACAAGTTTTACAAGGTTACTCACTAACTCTTTAGTTGGGGTATTAAAACATGAAACTGACAGCTGGTGGTAATACAAAGATAGAGTTAGAGTGCTACTTAGTGAAATTTATAAGATTTTTCAATGAGTATTACAATTTTTGCAAGGTTACTCAGTAATTGTTTTTAATTGGGGTATTGAAACAAGAAACTGACAGCTGGTGGTAATACAAAAATATAGTAGCCAATTTTTGTTATTAGAGATACACTATAAAATGTGCACTAAAAGTTTTGAAAAATTAAACAGTCGAAACATTAGATACTGAAAATCTTTAGATAATTAGAACAGAGTCTAGGATTTGGAGTAAGCAAGAACTTTGGATTTTGACTTAATTAAGAGAGAGAGAGAGAGAGAGAGAGAGAGAGAGAGAGAGATAAACCCTAGTTTAGCATATACTATCTCTGTGGTCCTGAAATTCTCAACTCTTGTAAGACTTTAGACTTTTTTTTCCTTTTTTAGACTTCCAGACTTTGTTCGTCTCAAAATCATAGATATATATGTGGTCCTGCTCTGTGACATGTACGGACTATATACTTACATGATGAATAGTATGTCTTTGTGTATCAGATGATAGATTCCGATGATGACGTAATATATATGTCTTTGTATAATACATCGGTTTTTTGGGATTATAACCTTGGACTTAATTATGTCCAAAAGAAAATACTCTAGGTCATATGTAAAACTATGAGAATATGAGGACTTTCGAAAAAAGAAAATGAGGAGCTTTCGAAAAGTTCTAGTTTTTACGGGTTGTCGACGATAGCATATGTATATACATTACATATCAATATATGAAGACTTTTTCTTCTTAATATTTCTTTTTGCCTTATAATATTACTTCATTTCAAAACTATAGCATTTTAGAATTAATATTGTATATATTTTAAGACTATCTTTACTTCCCTTATTAATAAGATGAGTATATATACTATTTTGAGAATGAGTTTCTTCGCATCTAACATGTCCTGCTTCCTTGATAGCTAGCCTCTGCTTCTACAAATATATCTCCTTTTCTGAATGCCTTACCCAAAAAATTCTTTATTAGATTGGAGGAATACAAAAATATTTTATGCTACAATTAAGAAAGAAAAAGGTGAGATAAATGCAGATAAATCACAACTACGTTTTTTCAACTGATCATAATGGTTTACTCAATATTTTCGTATTAAACTCATAGTTCTCATCATAATACTATTAACGACGTAGCGAAGAATTTTTTTTCGAGTGGTTAACAAAAATATTTACGAGCCCTGCGTTCTATATACATTGTATTGTCGAAAAGACGAAAACCTAAGTTCATTACTAACGGAGCTAGCTGACATATAGAATTGAGTTTTGTGGATTTGTCCAGTGAACTTGCAGACCACTACTTTACCAAAAAAAAAAAATGGAGACCACTTAAGGAGATATTTAAAAAGAAAAGGCCAGGAAAAGGACAAAAAGAAAAGGGAGGAAGGGAACAAAAAAACTACAATATAGAACATTAATTTTCGACCAAACAATGCAGTCATTATTTATTAATAATTACATGCATGTATCCTGACAGAAATAAAGAATCATCATCTCTCTAGTTCTCTCTTTAATTTTCCATATTTTAAAGAATGCAAACAAAATATCGATCTCCATGTTCTGTTAATTTTTTGTGAAGATAAAATTGTTTCAAGGAATTCGATAACCTTATAGATAATATCACATAATAAAAACCATCTCACATATTCATAGCGTACTACTACTACTATATCCGGTTCAAAATACATGTCATTATATTTTTTTATTTTTTCACATTTTTTTAATAGAAATTTTTAAAAAATTTCAGTTTTATATTTCTTATTTTATTTTATTAACTGCAGAAATAGTTTTCTATGTATATGAATATATAATATACATAATAAAAAATGTAATATTTTCATAAAGCCAATATTTATTATAACGCAGAGGTAATGTCTATTGCAATTTTTCAATTAGTTCAAATATTCATTTCGATTTGATGTCAGTAATTTAACGGTAAGTTATTTGGCCATCTAAAAAGAATAATTTTCAAAGTTCTATATTCAAGCATCAACAACAGATCGAGCTGATAATTTCTACGCTGATTTACTATCCAGAGAAATTATATATACGTAAATTTTAGTTTGATTGAGCCAAAAAAGTCAAGATTCATCTAAAATATCTGCCAATATTTTTTGTTATGAAATTTCTTTCCTATATCCATAAACCATAAAGGAAAATTGCTACATTTTAACTAAAAATGCCAAATAACATATGGTCTCTTGGAGTTTAGAAAACGTCGACTTAACTAATTTCCATTTACAACAACAGCAAATGGGTTTGGTGCAAAACACATACTAAAGATACGGCGCAAGTGAATTTAAAATCAAATATCTGCAGTTTTTAATTAAAACAAAACTTCTTAAGCTGTTCAAGTGACTCTGATGTGTGCCGCACTTGAATACTTCGCCATCACAAAAAGAGCCAAAAGGCTAAAGCTCTAATCTTTTAATTTACTTAAACTAATAAAACTATGTAATGATCAATTAATAACTATATATGTTCAGTTTATTTGAAATTCTAATTACGTGCTAAAGTTATAATTAATCATCATTAGCCGGCACTATGTTTGGCCTCTGTGAAGACAGATGGCACTGTCGTTGTGAAAAGGACATGTGAGCTAAACAAAGACAACATCTTTCCTAATGTCACACACGAGCACAAAACATCACTATCCATTTTTATTTTATCACTGTTATTGTCATTAGATTCTAATTAATCCATTTTTTCCTACTTCTGTACGCGTGTGTAAGTGTCTAATAAGGGAATATTAGAGACGCTTTACAGCACCCTATTTTCACTAATTATGTAATGCCCGTAAAAGGAGAGAGTCGATTTGAAGTCCTATAATCTCATTAAAAAAGTGTTATATGTGGTACTGCCTTAGTAAGACTTATTTGTCGGATCGAAACTTTACTTATTATATTTAGTTTTAAAAAAAAAGAACTTTATTGTTCAAATACTATATCAAGTTTTAAGTGCACTCCCCAAAAGTACAGCCTTATTTTTAAAAATAGCTGCATAGTACAAACTACTCTATACATGATAAATAGTTAGTCCGAACATTAATACTTTAATAGTACGAATTCATAGGGCATTCTCGTCAATTATAGCATGATAAGGTATACCCTGTAAAATAAGAAAATAATAATGTATGAGTTCTAGGAATTATATTCGAATGTTCATGTCCATTCTGGGTCCGTTCCAAAAAATAGAGTGTTCATAGAAGAGTAACATTAGAATATGAATATTGACTTCTAATGAGGCCGATTAAAGCAAGACAAAGTAATGAGGCCCATTAAAAGGTTGTATTACGATTTCTGGTGGTGTACTTTAGGCCCATAATTCGTTTTCAGTCTACGAGAGTCAACAGGTATTGTAGCTGGTAGAGTAATAGTCAGATAACATAATTTTTTTACCAAACTATGAATGAAGCTGAACTTATTTCGAGTTGCTAAGTCAGCCGACTGACCCGGTTAAACTGGCCAGATAGATTTAAATAGTAAGTATAATTATTTAAATATATTTTCAATGTAAATGAAGTCAATAACTATAAAGTTTTTTCCTTTTCACAGACAATATTTTGCAAATTTAAAATATTTTATTTCAGAAAATCAAAAGAGCAACGCAAATATATCACAAACCAAAGAGAAAATCAAAAATCCTAGCAAACAGGTGTTACACAAAATGGGTAGAAAACCTTTATTGTCCATCTAAAGTGACGAAAGCATCCTTAAGAAGTCGTTGTGCTTCTTCTCTCCTCCTGCACACAACATATACAACAACACTATTACCAATTCATTGTGCTTTATTTCTGATCTCTAAAAAACATGGAAAGAAAACTACAAACAAGCTTTTGAAGAATCTATATATAGTTTATAGATTGACCTTGATACTATTATGACAGAAAAGTTAAAAGCATATACAAACCTCTTAATGTCCTCCACGGCTTGTTTTCGCTGCTGAATTTGAAGTTCCATAATGTGAATAAGTGTTGCTCTCGCCTGGACACAAGAGAACGATTATAAAAAAAGCATCCGATGAAACATCGTAGTGAAATGAAAAAAAAAAGAGATCTCCTTTACTTGGTGAGGTCTCAAGGAATTGAGAAGGTGATGCAAATTCTTGAAGATTGAAGATATTTCACCAATTCTCTTTGCATATTGAGAAGGTCTCTCAACAAGAACATCGGCTAGCTCCAATATATGTAACTGTAGTTCTCTATTAAGAGAACGGAGTTCTTTCTTGTAATCTGCACAAAGATATTTGGAAACTCTTTAACGAAACAAAGAGAGGCTAGCTAATTTTTAAAGAAGATAAACTTGCTAAAGACTTGACGCTGAGATCAGAAAGAAAGCACCTTTCAGATCAACTATATTAACCAACACATTCATGTAATAAGATTGATTTCCAATTAAGGGGTTAAGCAAAAGCATCCTAATCAATACTAGAAGCTTAAAAGCATTTGCAAATTTCGAGTTTGATTCAGTTTAGAAGAGTGACATACCAACATTTGAATCTTTGGGATAAAGCTGAGGCACTCCTTGCTCTTCTAGGCTCGGAAGAACATCCTCGGTCTGCAACAAAAAGAATTGTAACGAATTGCGAGACGTGAAAATGGGAAATGTGTAGGAAAATTGGGGAATCTCACAGTGTAATTGCCTCCGAAACAAACGTAGGTTCCTTCAACAGGAGGAGGAGGTTCAGGAGCAGAGCTAGGGTTTTCTGAGTAATCCTTGTAGAGTCTGTAATACGGAGGAGGAGGTGGATACGTGGCTGTAGCCATTCTCCTACAGATCCAAAATCACAACAGAGCAAAATTCAGCAAATCGCAGAACTATTCTAACAACACAAGCGGGTAAAATTCAGGAATCGCAACCAAAATATTCCGCGCGAAATTTAGAAGAAGGAGAAAATTCCTAAAATAAATATCCAAAAAATCTTCAACAAAAATGCAGGCAGAAAGAGCATTATCCATAAACATGAGCAGAAATCAAGGCGAAGAGAGAGGAAACAAGATGATACCAGGGACTGATCAAAGGCGATGAATCACAGTTCTTCAGAAGCTCGCTGAGTAAAAAAGATGAAAGGAGTTGAAATTAAATCTATCTTAGTGTGTCGAAAACCAAAAAAAATTCTATCTTAGTGCGTTAGAGAAGAAGATCAACAAAAAAAAGGACTACGAGTATTTTGGGCCGTTTAGTTTCTTATTGGGCTTTTAGCCCATCCCATCCTTAAATTTTTTACAAAAAATGCCACAAATTCCTTAATTTTTGCTGCTACTGGTGAACCGACACTCGGTTTAGTCCGGTTGACACTTGAAATGAATGCAACTTCTTGTAGACTACTTCAATCCTACTTCAAATTTGGAGTAAAATTACTTTCAACCATATTCCATATCTCACTCTAAAATATAACTAAAAATAGAATTACTCCATATATGGAATAAAAAATAAAGTTATTCTATCATTCTATAAATTTTTTTTTTAATCAGAATGGGCCGAAAATGTTATCGAAGTGCTTGAGAATGAAAGAAAACAATATATACGCGGGCACTCCGAAGTTCGTTTGAGCTGATATCAGTTCAAATACATTAAAAATTCACTCAAATAGATGAGGTTCGATCCAAAATAACATATTGCTGTTATTATCAAATCGATTTCGCCAAATCTTATTTTAAACATATACATATACATATATAATTATGTAAACAAGCAATCACCACCATTCACAATTTATCAGAAGCAAAAAAGAAAAAAAATAAGAAAACAATTCAAAAATCAGATTTAGAAACGGGTTAATTAATTAAAGAGCTTTAGTTGAATGCTCTACAATTCCTCCTGATCTCACCGGCTAAACCGGTCAGCACGTCAACGGCTCCCATCTTCACCATTGCAATTGCGAACTGACGTTTGAATAGTTCGTTGTTGACCGCGTATTGAAACACAACACCAGAAGTGGCAGGGTCGGTCGCAAGCCGCTGGTCAAGTAGCAAGACTCCTTTCCTTTCTCTGATCTGAGTGAAGAATAAGTTGTCGAATGAGAATGGCGTCGACTGGTCCAGTGCCGCAAATTGGCTGCCTCCAGCCGAACATGTGTTCCTTAGCCTATTATTATAAGGAATATTCAAGGGAACCATTAATATAGATGTATATGAAATAATATTTTTTCTTCATGATTCCGTAAAACTAAAATATATGTATATGTACCTGCCAGCCAAACCGGGGTCCATAGAGGGGTCGGGCTGTCCGGTTCCTTGGAAATTAGTGAGCCGGTCCACAAAATTACCACAAGAACCGAACCCAACGGTGTGTGCACCCAAAAGAGCCACCGCATCGAAAACGTTCATCCCTTTATTCCCAAAGAACGTAAGCATATCTGGAACGGCGAGGCCTGGTCCGGGGAGGATCCTTTCGGCGTCTATACGGTTTGACACAAAGCCATCACGTCGTCCGGTGGGGACCACGTAGCTCGGTCCTCCACCTAAGAAGACAGAGTCACGTGTGGCGAGCGTGACTATGTCAGAGCACGAGACTATGGAGGGGCATTGAGCCTCGAGAGCCGTCTTTATCTCGTCTATCAGCTCGAACCCTCTCACGCTGCCGTTTGGCCCGGCGATCTTTTCCGGTTCTTGATTCGCCGTCGTTGGGTCTATGAGGAGAGAAGCGTCGCAGCCCTAATTAATCAAGAAACGCCAACGATAATTGTTCTTATGAATAATATTTCATAGATTATTGTCAAAACAGAACTATTACACATATAACAAATTGTTAAATTTTATGCATTTTCAAGTACGTACGTCAAGCCTCAGATATAGCCTTATATTATTTATAATTTTATGGGTTTTTTTTTTCAGAAGAAAAGTAAAACATATGATTTCAAACTTAGTTTTGTATTCTTAAATCAGGTTATCTGTATAAAATTATTGTAAAATGTATTGATGCCTTTTGTATTTAACGGTCAAATTAATTAGTTTAATGAAACTACAGTATGTTGATTTCTTAAAACCAAAAATTATTCAGCTTAAACAAAAAAGAAAATGAATAACTTGATCGAATAATATTTCTGACCTAATTCTCTTTGATTAAATGATCTTCTGATAAATAGAAACATATCAAAACCTAAAAAAAAAGGACGTTTGATGAGATTCATACCTGAACAAAACAGTCGTGAAAATGCATCCGAGTCAAGGCGGCTGTGATGGAAGGGTCACGACCAAACCGCTCGCTGACCAAGTTCTGTATGATAGTCTCTGCATTAGGGCATGATTGGCTATAAAACCCGACCCTGAGCTGAGCTAATGCGGCGGGTAAAATATATAAAACTAGGAGAAGAACATAAATCTTTCCAATCTTCATCTTGGTATTTGGAAAGTATTGCGTCGTAACTGTGTTAATTGGGATGGCTTTTCAGACCTCTAAGATCAACCACTGCTATATATATATACGCCATAAGGGACCGTCTATTTAGAAAATTAATTAAATCGGGAATTAATACATGTTGTATATGTCGAATAGGTCAGTCAAATTTATTTTATATTAAGAAATATAAATCTATATATAAACCTAAAGGCTTACGTACGGAGTACTTTGAAACATTCCGCTGCCTTATTGTATAGTTTTTTTTTTTTTTTTTGGTAAAAACCTTATTCTATAGTTGATTATTTACATACGATATATATCCTGATAACCGAGAATCAATGTAGCTAGGTGGTGTTAAAGATTTATGTTGTGTGGTGAATACAATTTTGATATTTTCTCAGGCAATTGTAATGTACTTTTATACATAGAAATCTTTTTGATGCATTTACATGACTTACTATTTACGTGATTGCAAGCATTGGAAATAATTTTTATTTTGATAAAAAGTATATCTAATTAACAGAGATAACTTTTTATATCAGTAAGGCTCCTTTAAGGAATTCTATAGTAGGTTTTCTCTAAAACCTACTTGTTCTAAGACTTAGACCTTTTGAATTTTTCTTTCAGTTATACGAGATAGACTATAGTTTTAAACAAATCTTGTTACTAGTATATGTTTGATTTAATATTAGTCAACGACACAAAACAATCGGATTTAAACGCGTAAGATGTAACAAGTGTACTAATAAGAAGAAAATAAAGGAGCCATCATCCGATTAAATGTAAATCAACATGGAGTTAATATAATGCAATGCAAAGACTCGTTCTTATTTTTCTAAGATGATTAAAAAAATTAGTTATATTTTCTAAATGAAAAGAGATTATGATAGATTCAAAAATCAAAATGACTTGAAGAAAAAGCAACCTTGGGGTAGAGCCCGTAGAGGATATTGTAATATGATACTTTGATTAGATGGTTTTGAATATATAAGACCAAGGCATATTTCGTAGAGACTTGTGTAAAGAAGTTGTCGTTGCAAACAAAAAATAACCAGGTTGTAATTTTTTATGCCCATTAAAAGTATATTACAGTTACTAAAAATGAGTTTTAAAAAGCCTAGTCTTTGTTTTCTTTAACGCAGTTTATTTCGCTTTCAAGAGATGTTTTCTACAAGAAATTCAATATAGGTATGATGTGTATGTCGGAAATGGTTCACCATCTTTAAGTTATTGCTCAAGTTGATGAATAATGACTCGGACTTTTGTTTCACGTGCATGGCGATATGCTTGCTTATGGACATGATGTTACATACTTACATATATCTTACGCCTTCCCAATATTAATTCTATACATTATATCTAGTTTGTGTTTATACCCATATTAGTTACTACTGAGGCGGTTCAGTTATGGTTTTTTATTAACCATGCACAAACAAAATTAAAAATTATGTAAAATTTCCTAAGTTAGTGTGCGCCACTGTCATCTAAAATTTCAAAGATTTACATTCTCAATTGGGAAAAAAACAAAAAAGTGGACCACTCAAATTCACAGTTTTGAAAATGTATGCTAATGATAAGTGATAACATTGCTGATCTGAAGCCTGCTAGATTAATATACTGGGCTAGGCCTAGTTAAAATCTTTCTACGGGCGCGATCCGACCGATTCAAATCTGACCTGATTGATCCTGTGATTTCGGTTTCGTTTTTGATCCAGAGAAATCCGAATTCAAGTACACAACTCGGAAACCTAACAAAATTCAAAACTCATCATCAATGAAAGCCCATATGAAAACAAACAAAAGAAAAATACTTTCGACAAAGATAAATACCGTTGGAAAAAACATACACCTGACAAAGACGTATGCGAGGCAACATGGAAAACAGTAATATACATTTCAAACTTAAAAAACAAATACATGTAGAAAGTTATAGGACAGGCTTTCTATATTTATTTCTATATATCGTCATTGAAATATCCACTATTTTTCTGTCGCTGGCAAGAAACACGAAAACAAAGCAACGTTCATTTCTGCAGAGGCAACAAGTAAGCAAACTAAAAGTAAAGCAAGTGGGATCTTTGATATTTTAATAATTGATAAGAATACGTACTGTGCCATATTTAAAAAAAAAAAAAACTGATAAAGGTACTATCATCAATCAATTAACAATTAGTAAATATATTAAGGGAAAAACTATAGGTAAAGTTCATCTTCATGCCAAATCATCAAGATTCTCTGATGTTCTTGTTCCGAACATCATTGTTCAAAAAAAAAAAAAAATCTCGATGTACTAAAGTTATTTGCTTTTAAATGAAGACTTCCCCCATTTTCGCCATTTGATTATTTTATTGCTGATTATAAATATATAATTTTAAAACCTATGAAACATAGAAGAGAAATGCTTTAAAAGACTAAAAGCAGACACACTCCGAGAAAGTGAGAAATCAAATTCGTAACTATACTCATTGCTAATTTTTTGTTATGTATTCATGCTTGTATAAAATCTTCATAAAATGTTTATCGAAATTTTAAAAAGCATGTATTTTGATAAGGTATTCGGAAATCACCTACATTATCAGAATATTTTGATAAGATTCGTATGAACTAAGTACTTCCAAAGTTTCACTGAAAACATTATAAAAAGTACTACTACTTATAGTATACACATGTTGACATGAAAGATATGTAAATGTTCAATATGTGTGCCGTGCACGTGCGCGTACTGGAACAAGAACTAACGGCTTCTGATTTATTGGTACTAAACTACTAATATCAGTGATATAACAAGTACATCCAGTTATAGACAGAAAAAAAAACAGTCACATTTTGTGAGAGGGAAACAACAAATTCATGCAATTAACCTTTTCGAGAAAGTACAACTGCAAATTCCTATGCATTATTTTTTCTCAATGCAATTTGCATTTATGTAGGATTCCCCCTATCGAACTACATGAATAATATTTTTACCAGCCATACAAGCAAACATTTCATGTTCACATAATCACGAAACATTTTTGTTTAAGTTTTAAACCTCACATACAATAAGCAATAGTACCAGTATTCTTTTTTTTTTAACGTTTGTATAATTACTAACAAAGATGCTCATTTTGTTTGTGGTTGAAATGTTTATAACAACAAATATATAGTCATGTGAAAAATCTTCTGTATACCAATTCTTCTTGTACAGTTGCATAATTCATAAATGTTAAATAAAATTTAACTATCTCTAAATATACTCGAAAGAGGAAAAAGTACATTCGAATAGTTGGTTTACCACTTAGAAATAACAACCATTCGAATCCTGAACATTACTAAAAGTCTGAAGTGCTTGCAAAGATTTCAACTAAAAATCAGAAATCATGTTTCTATTACTTTCCTTGAAACTGGTATATACTAATACTAATATATATAATTTAATTCGGCGAGGTTACATTAACTAATGCTTAAGGTAAAGCGGAATTCATTAATTAAGACTGAACGTTATAAGTTTATATATAACTCTGTAAATACTGTTTGGTAAGAAAATAATTTGTCATTTTGTTCATGTTCTAACGGGAACTCCCTGCATGATGTGAGTTGTTAGATTTAAGCAAATATCAGCTCATTAATTATCTTTTAACGTTAGAAATCTGTAAACACTTTTATCAAAAAAAAAAAAAAAAATCTGTAAACACGGTTTGATAACAAATCAATTTGTCACTTTGTTCAAGTTTCAATGAGGAGCTCTTTGGTTGAAATGCACGACCACATCACCAGTAACTCCCGATTTCTAAATTGTAGAAAACCTTTAATTAAATTAAACAAATAAAACACAAGACTTTTTCGAAATTAATTAAGTGTTACTCCATTGTTTTCTTTCCTTAACGAATGTGATTACCAGCATCAAGCATGGCGTTCAGAAATACCTGAACTTTAAACAATTTGATTAAAAATAAAATAAGATTTGATTCGTCCTCTTTGTGTTATCTGACGTGTCGTAACTCTACCTCCTACCCTTTTTAAACCCTTCACTCTCGACCGTCAAACACAAACAGTGTTTCTTCACTCAATCACTCTCTCTCTCTCTCTACACAAAAAAAAAGAAAAAGAAAAAATTTCAAATCTTTAGTTCACTCTCTCTCAACAGTCCATTCTTCTTCAGTCGTAAGAAGAAAAAAAAAAACAGATCAGCTACAGTTTTCTTCGAGGAAGAAAAAATGGCGGACAATGTTCTGAGGAAGCTGATCGTAGAGATCTGTAACGCAAGGAATTTGATGCCCAAGGATGGCCAGGGAACGGCGAGTGCCTACGCAATCGTCGATTTCGACGGCCAACGGCGGCGGACAAAAACCAAATTCCGAGATCTGAATCCACAGTGGGACGAAAAGCTCGAGTTTTTCGTTCACGACGCAGCGACTATGGGGGAGGAGATCCTCGAGATCAATCTGTGCAACGACAAGAAGACGGGAAAACGGAGCACATTTCTCGGGAAAGTTAAGATCGCCGGAAACGCGTTCGCAGCGGCCGGATCTGAAACTCTTGTTTATTATCCGCTTGAGAAGAGGAGCGTCTTCTCTCAAATCAAAGGCGAGATCGGATTAAAGGCGTATTACGTCGATGAGAATCCACCGGCGGCGCCAGCAGCGACGGAGCAGAAATCTGAGGCGGAAGCTCAGGCTGCTCCGGCGGCGGAAGATAAGGCGGCGGAGAATCCGAAAGCAGAGGAGGGGAAGAAAGAGGCAGAGGCGACGAAAACAGAGGAGAAGAAGGAAGGAGATAAAAAAGAGGAGGAGAAACCGAAGGAAGAAGCCAAACCGGAGGAGAAAAAAACCGATGCGGCAGCTCCGCCACCGTCACCGTCAAATACAACCGCTAAGCCGCCTGGTGCGGCCGCAACTCCTCCTCCTCCTCCTCCGGCAGAGAATCAAAACCCGCCTCTACCGCAGAAAACAGATGCGGTGACGCAGAAAGAATTAGGAACTAAACCGGAGAACGTAAACCGGCAAGATCTAATCGGAACAGATCTTGAGCTCCCTTCTCTAACCAGAGATCAGAATCGTGGAGGTGGCTACGATCTCGTGGATCGAATGCCGTTTCTATACATCCGTGTTGCTAAGGCGAAGCGAGCGAAAAACGACGGGAGCAATTCGATCTACGCGAAGCTCGTGATGGGAACAACCGGTGTGAAAACCAGAAGCCAAACCGGTAAAGATTGGGATCAAGTGTTTGCTTTCGAGAAGGAGAGCTTAAACTCGAGCTCCCTTGAAGTTTCCGTTTGGGCGGAGGAGAAAGTCGAGAACGAAGATAAAACGACGACGACGACGACCGAGAGTTGTTTGGGAACGGTGTCGTTTGATCTTCAGGAAGTTCCAAAGCGAGTGCCTCCGGATAGTCCTTTGGCTCCTCAATGGTACACATTGGAATCGGAGAAATCTCAGGGGAATGACGTCATGCTCGCCGTCTGGCTCGGGACTCAAGCCGACGAAGCATTTCAAGAGGCTTGGCAATCGGATTCCGGCGGGTTGATTCCGGAGACGAGATCCAAGGTTTACTTATCTCCGAAGCTCTGGTATTTGCGTCTAACGGTCATACAAACACAGGATTTGCAGCTAGCTTCGGGACCCGAACCTAAATCGAAGATCCCCACCACCGAGCTTTATGTGAAAGCTCAGCTCGGTCCTCAAGTCTTCAAAACGGCTAGGACTTCGATCGGACCGTCCGCTTCTTCGTCTGGTTCAGGTAACCCGACTTGGAACGAGGATCTTGTTTTCGTAGCTTCCGAGCCTTTTGAGCCGTTCTTGATTGTGACCGTGGAAGATGTGACGATTGGTCAATCAATTGGTCAGACCAAGATACACATGGGAAGCGTCGAGAGGAGAAATGATGATCGGACGGAACCAAAATCTAGGTGGTTTAATCTAGCCGGCGACGAGAACAAACCGTACTCAGGGAGAATCCACGTCAAAGTATGTCTTGAAGGTGGGTATCACGTGCTGGATGAAGCAGCTCACGTGACGAGCGATGTTCGACCATCTGCTAAACAGCTCGCCAAGCCACCTATTGGTTTGTTGGAAGTGGGTATCCGTGGAGCTACTAATTTACTTCCTGTGAAAACTAGAGACGGTACACGCGGCACCACGGACGCTTACGTGGTTGCTAAGTATGGACCGAAATGGATTCGCACCCGAACGATTCTTGACCGGTTTAATCCACGGTGGAACGAGCAGTACACATGGGATGTTTATGATCCTTGCACGGTCCTTACCATTGGAGTTTTCGACAACGGACGGTACAAGCGTGATGAATCTGGAAAGCAAGGGAGAGATGTACGGGTCGGGAAAGTCCGTGTACGTCTCTCGACTCTCGACATGAACCGCATCTACCTAAATTCCTACACCTTAACCGTAATCCTACCGAGCGGAGCCAAGAAAATGGGAGAAATCGAAATCGCGGTTCGATTCTCATGTCCGTCTTGGCTAAGCATTATACAAGCTTATGTCACACCAATGCTCCCTAGGATGCACTACGTTCGTCCCCTCGGGCCAGCTCAGCAAGATATTTTGCGTCACACGGCTATGCGTATTGTGACCGCTAGACTAGCCCGGTCTGAGCCGCCGTTGGGTCAAGAGGTGGTTCAGTACATGCTTGACACGGACAATCATGTGTGGAGCATGAGAAGAAGCAAAGCAAATTGGTGCCGTGTCATCACGTTTTTGTCACGTGCAGCCACTGTTGCCCGTTGGGTTCACGGGATTCGAACTTGGGTCCACCCACCAACCACCGTGCTCGTTCACTTGCTTCTCGTGGCCATCGTCTTGTGTCCACATTTAGTCCTCCCAACGGTTTTCATGTACGCGTTCTTGATCCTAGCTCTAAGATTCCGTTGTCGTGGCCGAGTCAAAGTCAACAGCGTTGACCCACGCCTCTCTTGCGTTGACTCTGTCGGATCGGACGAGCTCGACGAAGAGTTTGACGGTTTCCCGGCAACGAGACCGCCGGAGATCGTTCGTATAAGGTATGACCGGTTAAGGGCGTTGGCCGGTCGGGCACAGACTTTACTAGGTGACGTGGCGGCTCAAGGGGAGCGTGTTGAGGCGCTCTTCAACTGGAGGGACCCACGCGCCACGTGTATATTCGTGGTGTTTTGTCTTTTGGCGTCGTTTATGTTCTACATCGTTCCGTTTAAAATTTTCGTTTTGGGGTTGGGTTTTTACTACATTCGACATCCGAGGTTTAGAGACGATATGCCTTCCGTTCCGGTCAACTTTTTCCGGCGACTTCCTTCGATGTCCGATCAGATCCTGTGATTCCAGATGCTTGTTTTGTTTTTCTTTAATTTATTTTTGGTCATGTAATCCTTTGAATATTTAATTATTTATTCTTCAATATATCTTCATTATTTTTTTCAATCAAAAGAGGTGGGTCCGTGAGTGGACCTTAATCTCACCAATTGGTTGATAGCTGACCTTTAGTGCTTAGTGGGGCCATGTATTTTAATTAAGAACATTGAAACTTGAAAGAGAAATTCACAGGAAACAAGAAAAGAGAAATCGTATTGATTCGTGGTTTAGGTAACGAAGTTAGTGCGTATGTGACCGTTGCAGCCACGCAGGAGCGCTGCTCTATGAAAAGGATAACTCAAAGTCTCAAACAAACTACGAATTTAAAACGAAAATTATTATAGCCAAGAAGGCTAAGTTAGGGAATTAATAAAACTGACATCCCGCCGGTTTAGTTTAATCGTGTTAAGTTATGCCTTGATGAGAAAATAAGTAATTAACAAACACAATTCATTTAATAACAAAATTAGAACTACGTGTTAATTTATCACATTACTAAAACATATGCTTTTCAGTTTCCGCCAAGATCAAAGATTGGACAAAAGCTTATAAAGTAGTGATACAATCTAGCCCCAGCCCACACTCTAAACATTGTAACGATCTTGGAAGTCCAAAACCAAGTCAACCTAACATTGTATAATCTAAATTTTTTCTGATTTTATTATGAATCATAAAAGATCAAACAACCATAATAAAAAAAATTCCCAAAAAAGAATAAGATCAGAGGCGTGTGTTGATGTAGAGTAGTGTAACTCACACTTCCTATCTACATTGCCTATTGACAAAGTTTTTTCTCAACATAAGCCTCATTAGTAAACTCTTTAACCTCCTAGCCCCCGGACCCGGACCAGGTTTCGACCAACGCTTCCGCTTGTTATTCAGAATCTCTCGGTCTATCCTATTGAGAACCGGGTCATTGTTCTTGAACTTCCTTGCGAATGGTCGGTTGCTCATCACCATCTTTCTGTAATCTCTCGTCCCTAGAGTCTTAGGATGCTGCTTTGGCGGATTGTCCCACGCAATGTAGTGGAGGTCGTGGTTCACAGTCGTGTTCTTGAACTCATCCGAGTTGCATATGAGTGTCTGAAAATAGCCTTCCGGAGATGAAACGAAGTTGGTGTAGTAGAGAAGGAGTGTTCTTGGTAAGTTGTCATAACCTATTATGCAATATTCTGAGAACGGTCTTGATAGGAATGTCCACGCTGAACCTGAAATATGTATATCATTTTTTACATTTCTTTAGTACTAAAGAAAAAGACAGTTTACCAAAGTAAACTTCTAAATTTTATTATTTTTCTTGGCGATTCTAAATAAAACTTTATGCCGCCAAAAATATATTAGGTTTTATGTCTTACTCAACTCAAATCAATCATTACACGCAACAAATTTCTGAGTCTTGAGATATCTACTATATGTAATTGAATCCCTACACGTACTCCTTGATACTCCTAAATTGGTGCCATTAATTTGCACTAGTAACTAGTTAATCTAAGTTTCAAAGTGAAGACGGTAAAATTGGAAGCAAACGCTAGAAACTATCATCGTAAAAACAGCCATTACCATTTAAATAGGTTTTTTTTGTATAGTTAAAAGTGAAAGAAGAAGGGGAAACCTGTGAAGAGCTTGAAAGAAGTAGGGAGGCTTCGCTGTTTAATAACCCACCAAATCTCTGACTTGTTGAGGCTATAAAGCCCTGGATCTATTATTATTGGTTTCCCTCTTTTGTTCCTACACATTTTCTTTTATTATTAATCTACTACTTTACAAAAACAGACTGCTTATTTTTAGATAGTTCAAAATGTTTCTAATAAGCATGTTTCAATAATAGTTATTTTTTCCGAAATAATATAGCATAGCTAGTAGTTTGCTTGTTAATTAAAATACGTAAAAAAGGAAAAAAAACACTAACATTTTCCATCCCAATCGGCTTGTGTGCTGTATGAAGTTGAGATCTCTAGGCAGCTCAGAAAAAGCATAGATCAGATCTGCATTCATTTAATAGATTATAAAAATTCAAAATAGTTACATCAAGAGACACACCATTATCAACATACAGTACAAATATAACAATTAACAACATAGAATTATCCTAAGCAGAACATTCATGTATCACACAAAACGATCCTAACCATAACATTCTTATCATAATTCCAAAATCCAAACTAAAATGGACAATATATGATGAATAATTATATAAGTCTAGAAGCAAATAAGCAACATATTATAGACTTAACTTAATATAGATAACCAGATTATGTCGGAAATATCAATGTATATGTCGATCCTTAACTGTTCATTCATATATCACACAAATCTAGATCGGCTAAATCTGACTTTCCAAATATAAATATGTCAAATTTATAACTCATCATCAGTTTAAAAGCAAACAAGAAACATTTTGATAAACAATCAGGAAAATGAATCCGGTAATTCACTCACCGTACCGTCTTGTGTGACGAGAGGATAATCAGAAGCACTGAGATTAATGAACCAATCCCACCGACAACACCTCAAGAGCAACGCCATTGCGTGAAGCGTCGTCGCGAGCATCGTTGGTCCTCTGTAAGTCACCAGATTCGGTTTTCCGACGATCATCACATTACCCTCCGCCTGAAACAGAGGCTCTCCGGCCACGAACCGGGCCATCTCCAAATGCTCCTCCTCGGGCGCCTCGAGGTCTAGGTGTATCAAATAGTGGTTTCTGCGGTGGTATAGAGATCGTAGGAGGCGTTTGAGTTTTCCGGTGTCGCCTTTGGAGGCGGAGATTAGGTAGGCGAAACAGGGGAGTGTAGAGTTGGGTTTTTGGTCGGATTCGAGGGGTAAAATAGGGATTTTCGAGGAAGTGAAGAGAGTTGTAGTTGTCGGGAGAATATAGAGGAATGAGAAGAGAAGAGAGATTAGTAAGAAGGAGATCATCAACAGTTTCTTCATCGCCATTTTGTCTCTCTGTAAATTTTCTTGGAATCTCTTTGGAGAAGAGAGAGAGAGAGAGAGAGTTGTATTGTGTTGATTAATGACGGACTAGTTTGTTAAATCACAAAGATACCCTTTTATTTATATTTCTTTCTGTTAGCATCCGTCGATTTAAGAATTGTGTCTGAAAGCACACAAATTCCGTAACCAATACTAGAAATCAAAAGATCACAACCGATTATATATTTAAATATCACATACGTGTTTTGCTATTTACTTTGTAAAGTCTGGTGAACTTAAAATTCATACTCGAAGTAGTCATATTCATTTATGGGACTGTTGGTACTTCCAATAGTTTGAAAGATGATTGTCACCAAACTTGACATAAACATTGATTAACAAATCAATTTAAGCAAAACCAAAACAAAAAATAAATTCTGTTAATTTAGAAGTATTGAATTTTTTTTGTTTTCACTAAACATATAGATTTAGTCATGATTTTTAACCCGACAATAACCCAAAAAAAAAATTAATAAGTTTGATTTTGATGTACTATATATCATCAAGTGTAATATCATTTTAAAGTTCAGACAAAACTAGATTGAAAGAGTAAGAAGATCTAAAAAGATTGCAAGATTGGGTTCCTTGCTTTAAAGCCAAGTCCTCCACCTGTCCTAGTTCTCTCACATTCTTGCACATGTTTTAGATCTTCAAACTCGCACTCACGTAAATATACTATATTGCCTTATATAGCGGGTATCATTTTGGAATTTGTTTTTTCCTGGATAATGGCTTTATTATTATTATTATTATTTTTTTGTAACATGGGTTATTGGTTTAATATTTTGGGATTTCCGATTTCATAGGTTGTATTTTCAAATCTTCTATTATATAATAGGAGAGTTTTCTCTCCATCTAGGGTGTCCACATCAGCAAACTCATAAATTTTAACATTAAAACATATTTAAGAGGTGCATTCATGTATATTTGTATTTATTATTAATATATTTAGTATTATTAATAATTAAAGAAAATTGTAATACTAACTCGATTAAAACTATATAGATTTTATTACAAAATATATATTATTTAACTGAAAAAAGATAGAGAAAATGATGATAGTTAAAGAAATTAAAAATTGCTGAAAAAGAATAAAAAATAGAAGAAAGAAGAGAAATCAAAATATATTAAATAATATGTAAATGAAGACTAAACAATATCAGAAAAAAAAGAAGATGTAGAAGTCGAAAACCATAAAGAAAAATTTGAAAAAAAAACACAAGAAGAAGAAGAATATGAAACTAATGAAGATAAATTTTAGAAAATACGAAAACAAAGACGTTAAAAATAAAAAAAAAGAACATAAGATGAAGATAACAAACTATGAGAATATGAAGATAGAGAATGAGAAAAATATAATAAAAAAGAAAAAAAAAAGATATATACATATGATGAATTAACTATTCAACAGTTCTAAATAATAACAGATTAAAAATAAAATTTTGCACAACGCACGAAGTCTAAATTAAAAAAATAAAAATAATGTTTATAAAAAGGTAATTATAATCACACAATAGTGATTAGATAAAATATAAAACCACACAAAAATTAATAGCATAATTAAAAGAAATTTGATCTTATATAAAAACAATAATAAGAATACCTAACAGAACACAAACATTATTAACACAATGCAAACATAAAAAAACATCTATTAAATTAAGAAAAAAAATTATCAAATAAATTGTATTTTAAATTAAGTACATAAAACAAATAAAAACACAAATATGAATTAAAACCCGCGAAGCGTGGACTCAACTCTAGTTATTTGATAACTAGAAAGTACAGTTGTTAGATTTGGTGGATTTGGTGGATGATGTCCTAATGTCTATAATCCTGTTTTTGGGTCTTAGTAAAATCGTATTCTCTCTTTTCTTTTGTCGGCGATTCTTACTAAATTCAAATGCCATTAAGTTCATAAAATATTTAGTCAGAATAAAATCAAATGCCATTTAGTTCGGATGTGGGCTAAGACTAGATTTTACTAAGATTTATTTTTAAGAAGCAGACATTTTCATCTATACTTCATTTTCTTCTTATTTTAGATGTAGATTGTAGAAAATGATCAATTTGATTTATTTATTCTTTCACTTTGTTTTCATATCGAATTATTTGGAGCAACTTAGTTCGGCACAAGTCAAGCTTTTCTGTTAAAATGCACGGGTCGGGTATATGTTTCAAGATGTCAATCTAGAATCCACTATCTTCTTGACATGTACTCTGGTTGTTCGTGTTTGGACCAAACCGTTTAGTTAACCAGAGGAAAAAAAAAAACTTATATGAGTTTTGAGTTGAGTTCTGATGTAACTTGTTTCTACACCCCGATAGAGGTCCATTAAAGCCCATATAAAATGTTGTTTTTCAAAAACATTATATTTGACGTTGTCAAAGATACCAACGTAATCAAATTTTTAAGATATCTATCTAATTCATTTTATTTAATTACAGTTTCGTATAGAGGCACATAAAAGACTAACGTGTGGGTGTAGATTTCCGTGTGATAGCGCCATAGCGGATACATTGATTTTATGATTTTAGTCTGATTTGTTGTCATTTCTATAAATAATTAATGTTGTTACCACTTTGATTACTGGGAGATTTGCCATCAAAACAAAAAGAACTTCCCAGCCATTCAGCCATTCTCTAGTTATCAACCAATCACAACCACAATGTTTTAGATTTGTATATATATACTTAATATTACAGATATAGTTTTGACATATAACCTCTTTTGTCATTTCGTAACGATCACATGCATCAACGTAACTAATTTTTCCAATGTCATTTACATTTCTGAAGTTTGAAATTTCCTCTATGAACATATTTCAATTTACTTACTGATGTTAAAAAAAACGCAACACGTAAGTCTAGTTATGGATCTCATACTCGCTATAAGATCTATTAACTTTGATCACATTTTATTTTCAAACTCACTTCTTTCTAACGACAATTGAAAGTATATATAATTAGCTAGCTCAACTGAAATTGCATATTCCCACGAACTTCCGGCACTTCATGTCCACTACCTTGAGTAGAAGTGTAGTAGAGATTCTACAAAAAATTGGAACCAAATTCATACTATCATCAAGGAATCATAGATACGGTATATAAAAGCTCACTCATAATTATTGTCAAATGAAAAAAATGTTAGAGTTGGTAAATATTACGAATTCCACTTAACCTAATTTGTCTTTTTGGTTTAGGTATTGATGATTTGTTTGTTTTTGAGTATCGGAGTAAGCAATCCATCTCGACCAACCTCACCATCAAAACTATTCTCTAATAATTAATATTTTTTTTATTTGTCCTTATCTCAGTCATTTCATAGAGAGCATAGACATTCAGTTATTTTTTTTTGGAATTAGAATTAAATTAAGAGTGACATGATTTAAGAAACCAAAATTTTGTCAGAAAACAACACAATAAACATAGTTATAATTAAAGAAGTCGAAAAACTCAGTTAAAGACAAGTTTAAATTAAAAACACGTAAACCTTTATTCTAATTGACTTTGTTAGTTATTCTAATTGACTGTAGCTACACCTTTCTCATAAATATTTGTATTTTGTTACGAATTTCTTAGCCATAAACATTGAAAAAAGGAAAAATATTTATTTATAGCAAGACCGTGAATGATATATATTAAATGTCGATGCTTATCCTCTCACGCCAAAAAGTAACAACAAAAGGCATAAAGCTAGGAAAGAACAGAAATTAGATAGAAGTTGAACTGAACTAACGTATTTCTTTTGACTACTCACTTCTTTTCCCCTTTGAAATTTCGTTTATTGCTACAAATGACTTTAAAATATCACTTTTGTAATCTAAGTCTACAGGTAAAATCAACCAAAACAGGGATACGATTTAATTATCTATATATCAGATGTTGCAGAGTTTGTTTGATTGTTTCCTTCAAAATTAAAATTGATGTTATTCATGTTTGGAATTCCTTCATGTTTCCATCTCCAAATGTAAAATTCACGGGAATGTTGAAACATACCAAGTCAGCAAAGGTTACCTGTCATCATTTGCCATGTCATCAAACACGTCAGCAAAATGATACTTGGATTGGATTCAAGAAAGTTGACAGAGACCAAAGTGTAGACGGGAATTTTATTAAATAAAGTATAAATTAGAAAAATTCGACTTATTTAGACCTTAACTTACTGATCAACTTATTAATTTTAGAGTACCTTTCTTACGATGATGAGTAGGTAGCCAAGATGAACCTACATGTATCAATAATACCAAAATAAACCTAACAAAAACAAAACTAAATGAGTTTGTATAACACATTTCCATATTTCGTGGAGTATGAAAGACCAAAAGAAAACAATAAAATTACAGATTTTGATTAATAACTTGGGGGTGATCAGGAATTGAGGATACTTTAGAGTAAAAAGTCAAAACAATAATAAGTGTAAATTACTTTAAAGGTGGAGTAAGTCAATGTGATGGAATAAAGTATGTGTATTTAATATTCGAAATTAATCTAATAAACATCAGTGTTTCCCAAAAAAAAAAAAATTCTAATAAAACATCAACAAAATGATTCGGATATTAGAGAACTTCTTAATATATATATATATATATACACAGAATGATGATTGATGAAGATGGTTAAGGGGAACTTGGGTTCCAAGTAACTTTCCTGGCAAATACAACGCAGGTATGCCTATACCAACAAGCAACGGCCACGCCTCTCGCGTGCAGATTCAAGAACCAAGAACAAGATCTCCTCTTCCTCCTTCGTCTTCTCCAATCGCCTTCAAGGTCTTTCTCTCCCTCGAATCAACAACCACGAAACTCTTTGCTTGATCTCTCTAACTTCTCTGCTTCTCTCTTTCTTTATCATAAACTTCATCTCTTCCTATCACTCTCTCTGCGTTCTATGGTGATTTTTGCACCGAATTCACATTTATCACCTTCGAATATCCATTGATGAGAGACCAAATTGTTTTTTTTTTTTTTTGCAGGAACAACAAGGTAGACCACCTCCAGCCGCACAACAAACAATAGCCGGAAAACTCTCTAGAAATCTCTTCAAGGGTATCCTCTTCTCACAACTAACCTTAATCTCACTTTTGGTGATCGTTCTCACCATTCGCGGTCTCATCTTAGCAAGTTCACATCATTTCCACCCCAAGAAATGGTACCCTCCTTTACTAGCCTCTGTAGCTGTCTCAGGAGTTGCATCTTTGGCCTGGCAATGCATCTTTATCTACAATCCACCAAGAGCAGTCAAAGCAACGTTCTGGCTTACCCCAATACTCACTTGCTCGGTCGGTATATTGCTTGTTCTGATTGGCTCGGCGGTAGATGCAGGGATCGGTGCTGTTTTTGTGCTTTTCGCCATCACGCAGTCTCTGTATGGTTGCTGGATCACTCCGAGGCTTGAATACACCGATAAGATATTATCTCTTTCCACAGCTTTTCCACCTGCAAGAACCAGAGAAGTAGTCAGTTTATCAATCCTTGTAAGTGTGGTTTACTCTGGTTTCTTGGTGACTGGAATCGGAGGGGCAACTTCCACTAGAACAAATCTAGACCTCTTGTTTGTCTCCGTAATCTTGATAAGCTTGGCATGGACGATGCAAGTTCTCAAGAATGTACAACAAGTTGCGATTTCGCGGGCGAGGTATGTGAACTTTGCACATGGAGAAGATATGGACGCTTGGGGTGCTTTCCGTGTCACTGTGAAACACTTGATTGGAAGCATCTGCATTGGCTCGACACTTGTTCCAATCATCGTACTCATCAGAGGATCGATCAGAAGCGTTAATCTAATGTCAGGGAGCAGCGACGAGGTCATGTATTCAGGTGCAGATTGCTTCTCCACCATTGCCAACAAGCTTATCACATATGGAAACAGATGTGGCTTTGTACATGTGGGAACCTATGATAAAGGGTTCGTGGAGGCTTCGAGTGATACCTGGAAGAAGCTGAGAAGTACAGTTGGGTTGGAGAAACTGATTGATTCAGATCTCACTAGCTCCCTGTGCTTCCTCAGTGCGGTTTCTGTTGGAGCTGTCTCTTCATTAACTGCAGGCATATGGGTGTTGTTAATCCACAAGGACTATGCCTTGGAAGTGACACTCTATGCTTTCATAATTGGATATTTCGTGGTAATATATCTGATTCTAAAAGGCCACTAAAAGACGAAGAAAAAGAACCAAAATGACTTAAGTAGCTTATGTTGTGTTACCTGTTTTTTTGTGTGTGTTTTTTTCACAGGGAAGGGTGGCTTTGGCGTGGATACAGGCCTGTGTCTTGGCTTACTATGTAGCTTATTCTGAAGATCCTCAGAGCATGCGGTTTGACGGTACAATTCCAAATCGTATTCAGCGTCTTCAACTGTTAAGTGCTCGCCGAGATAACAGGGAGCTTGAGGTGGGTAGAGACAGAGATGATACTGATAACTGTTGATGAGATTCGTTACAAACATGTAAAGCAAAGCAAAACAATGATTAGTACTTTGTTTTTTTTCTTTCTTCAAGCTACAATTAGATTCTATTGATAGGAAATTTTAGATTCAAAGTGTTCATATGCCAAAACTCCAGCTAAAGACTGAATGTGCATGCATACTCTTTAGACTTAACTCACGAAAAGCTCTATCTTTTCAATAGTGGTCCGTTTTCAGATAAGAGATTACACCATCACAAAGATGCACTATGTAATGCACCTAAAAGCTACACAGAATATACAGTAAATACAGCTTCTATGATCTCAAATTAGCAACAAGGGTCTAGTTAGCCATATAAATCACAGGCGGAAATATCCAACACTAACTTAATTAAATCTTGAAGTATATACCATCAATTGTAGCCAGAGAAGAGAAACTAAAATTTCCAGGAATTTAAAATATGACAGAACAAGGAGAGAGAGCGAGAGACGGAGCACATTTGGAAATGATACCGAAACCCACCGCAGAAAATTAGCCGGAGACGCAAATATATCCAAAGCAGAATCCATCGTAGGAAGAGATCGCCGGTGAAAGTGTTTTTATTTTATTTTAATTGTTCTATGCCTTCAGATAAAATTGGCTCCGACCGGACCGGTTTATCCTCTCGGTTTGATATTCAGAGAAGGCTAGGCCAAGAGGTGGCCCACAAATTTTATGCTAAGACGCCGTCTTTTTCGGTTCTGGAAAAAGAAAATCAATTTGGTACAAGAACCGGTTTGGTTTAAAATCCCGGCACAATACTCTCGCTAGTCGCTACGCCTGAAAAGTAAACACAGTCACAGAGACGCTCCCGCGTCTGGCAAAGAACGGATAAAGTCTCTCTCTTTCTCTCGTTCCGTGTTTCGGGTGTGTATCAAAGAAGAAGAAGAAGAAGATGCTAACGAGTCCCAGTAACGCGCTTCACAGTACTCCACACTTCTGGCCTATTCGCCGGAGCAGGCTTTGCCGTTCCCGGAATTTCCCTCGTTTCCTCTCCGGCGGAGGAAAACTGTGCTCGCTCTCTCTTCTCTCCGCAAGAAATGGCGCTAGTAGATTTAGTGTCAGAGCTCTTGTTCGGCCAGATATTTCCGACGACGCTGACTCCGTCGGCGATGGCACTCTGGCTTTTCCTAACCACATTTCTGTCAAAATTCCTTTCGGAAATAGAGAGGTAAGTCTCTGTGCCCATCTGTTGAAGTTTGATTCGGAGCTGATTGATACAATTGGTAGTATTTGAGACCCTTAACTCTATAGTAGAGAAGCAAAGCTCGCTGCTTTTGATGTTTGTGTGTTGAGCTTTATTAGTTTCTTCTTACCGAAACCTTAATTTTTTCTTTGTTTCTGTCTTTTTTAAATTTTTTTTTTTTTGTTTTGGTACTGTATAGATTTTAGTTGAGACTGGTCTTATGGGGAGACAGGCTAGTTCTGCAGTTACGGTGACAGATGGAGAAACTGTAAGCCTGCTTCATTCAAATGACAAATCCTTAAAAACTCTTTTCCGAGTTCTTCCAATTTTATAATCTTCTGTTTAGCTTCTATTGCTTTCGGAAGCTGTGGTGGGTTCTTCACATCTAATTTTGAGTGTGTCTACTTGTCACTGTAGATTGTCTACACATCCGTTTGTTTATCTGATGTCCCTAGTGAGCCATCAGATTTTCTTCCCCTTTATGTTCACTATCAGGAGCGATTCTCAGCCGTAGGCCGAACTAGGTAAGCGTTTTTCAATCTTTGAAATCTTGGAGTATTTTACTACAAGAAAACCAGATCATAGCCTCAATGATGATTTATATGGAATTTGTTCTTATGGTACAGTGGTGGATTTTTTAAGCGAGAAGGGAGAACCAAAGATCACGAGGTATTTACTAATGCTTCACCATATTTGGTTTTTCCTACCTATTCAACACTTTTAACATGTTCCTATGCATGCAGGTTCTGATTTGTAGGTTGATCGATAGACCTCTACGCCCCACTATGCCCAAAGGTTTCTACCACGAAACTCAGATATTATCCTGGGTATGTTCCTTCTCTGTGGATTTGCTTTCTTTTGTCTCTGTATGATGGTTTATCATGTTTTGTGTTTTTCAAGAAAATGACTTGCACTTTTATAACTACTTAAACATATATGAAGATATGCATGTACTCATCTCCTTGGATTGGGTCTCCATCTTAACCGAACTGTTGCTTGTCTGTGGTTTCAGGTTTTGAGCTACGATGGGTTGCACGCACCTGATGCTTTAGCTGTTACATCTGCTGGAATAGCTGTGTATGTAGGGTTATCCCGTTTCCGTGTTTACATGTGTGAAGTTTTTTTTTTTTTTTTGTGTTGACGACATTGAGATGGCTTTGTAATGAATGTATACCACAGAGCTCTTTCGGAAGTACCAAACTCAAAAGCGATTGCAGGAGTTCGCGTCGGTCTTATTGGGGGCGCATTTATCGTCAATCCAACCGTGAAGGAGATGGAAGAATCAGAGCTAGATTTGTTTCTAGCTGGAACAGATACTGCTATTTTAACGATAGAGGTTAAGTTTAATCTTTACCTCGCAGTTTCCAAGATTTGCAAATTTTCCTCTTCGTCTTTTTTACCCTGACTTCTTAGCCCTTGCTTTTTGCAAATATATCCGGTATTTCAGGGCTACAGTAATTTCCTTCCAGAGGAAATGCTGCTCCAAGCTGTTAAAGTTGGACAGGTATTTTAATTGCAATTGTTTCAATTTTCTAAAGTCTGGATTAGGTACTAAATGTGAGGCTTTTCTATTTCTTACCAGGATGCTGTACAGGCTACATGCATTGCTATTGAAGCTTTAGCAAAGAAATACGGAAAGGCCAAAATGCTTGACGCTATCAGATTACCACCTCCTGAGTTATACAAGCATGTGAAAGTATGTTATATACTCCTTGTTTCTCCTTTTTTTTTTTTGCAGTGATGTTAGCTCGTAAATCAAATGCCAAATCGATTGTTTTCTGTACACAGGAAATTGCTGGTGAGGAATTGAACAAAGCGCTACAGATTAAGAGCAAAATACCAAGAAGGAAAGCAATATCGTCCCTGGAAGAAAAGGTCTTGACAATACTGACTGAGAAGGGATATGTCATTGATGAGGTAGCATTTGGAACCACAGAAGCACAACCGGATTTGTTAGAGGATGAAGACGAAGATGAGGAAGTTGTTCCTGAAGGTGAGGTGGACCAAGGTGACGTTCACATAAGGCCCATCCCTCGGAAGCCTATCCCTTTAGTGAGTCTCTTAACCTTTTTCTACATGGTAGCTTAAAACTGACATTTTTTCTTCTTCATTTTATTCTTTATGCTAACAAACTAGTGATTGCCCCTGTCTAGCTATTTTCTGAAGTAGATGTGAAGCTGGCCTTCAAAGAAGTATCGTCAAAGCTCCTCCGGAGGCGAATTGTTGAGGTATAGCATCTTATTTATTGGTATATTTACCAGTTACATATATAATAGGCGTTTTTCTTACTCCCTGAAGTATTTTATGAACTACTACTGTACTCTGCAGTAAACAAAGTTACCTTTTCGGAAAGTTCTATTGATTCCATTATACTTCTTTCTTTTTTTGTTTCCCATCCATAGGGTGGTAAAAGAAGTGATGGTCGAACTCTGGACGGGATTCGTCCAATTAACTCAAGATGTGGACTGCTTCCAAGGGCACATGGCAGTTCTCTTTTCACACGTGGTGAAACACAGGTAACAGAGAGATGGTGTTTTAGAGGAATTCCTGCGTGGATGTTTCATATTTCGATCCTTTGTCTTATCAGTTAAAGAAGGTGGTTATTCTCAGACTTTGGATAAGGAACATTATTTTATGATTCGTGTAGGCACTGGCAGTTGTTACTCTTGGTGATAAACAAATGGCGCAGAGAATTGACAACCTTGAGGGATCTGATGAGTACAAGAGGTTCTATCTTCAGGTCTCTTCAATATTTTTCCTTCTTCACTCTGTTTTTAGTTTATAGCGATTACTTCGAAGATTTTTTTGACACAATGTATAGCATCTAACCGAAATATTTCTAAGAAATTTCAGTGCTTAGTCTGATCATTCATTTTCTTGTTGAGCTTAGTGAGATTTTCTAAGCTACTCCTTGTGATGTTTCAGTACACTTTTCCTCCATCGTCTGTTGGTGAGGTTGGACGAATCGGAGCACCCAGTAGAAGAGAAATAGGTCATGGGACGCTAGCGGAGCGAGCATTGGAGACCATATTACCTAGTGACGATAATTTTCCCTACACAATACGTGTTGAAAGTACAGTTATTGAAAGCAATGGTTCTTCAAGGTTAGTTTTTTTTCCCACTATCTGTAGGATCTGCGCGTGCCAAGTTTGTCTGAGTGGTAGATTTGTGTTTTGGCTACTTAATTTGATCTGAAATTGTAACAGCATGGCGTCTGTTTGTGGCGGCTGCTTGGCTTTGCAAGATGCTGGAGTTCCAGTCAAATGCTCTGTTGCTGGGATAGCAATGGGAATGGTTTGGGATACCGAAGAATTTGGTGGTGATGGATCGCCCCTTATCCTTTCTGACATCACTGGAGCTGAAGATGCATCCGGTGATATGGACTTTAAGGTCAGAATAATATAAAGATGCTCTTAAAGGTCTTTGCATTGACGTGAATGCTGACGTTCTGATTTGTTTGTCTATAGGTTGCTGGCAATGAAGATGGTGTTACCGCATTTCAGATGGACATTAAGGTTATTATCCTTGTCTTAATCTAACACTGCCCAAATGGTTTTAAATGGCCATAGATAATTCTGTTGGTAACATCTTGTGTTTTTTTTCCTTCTTTTCTGTAACCGTGAACTAGGTAGGAGGAATCACTTTACAGATAATGGAAAAGGCTCTGATACAGGCAAAAGCTGGGCGTCGCCATATTCTTGGTAAGAAATTACGGGGTATTCATGAATCATTCATCTCAGAAGACAGCTAGAGTTCGGGAGTTATAGTTTCCAGATATTGAAACTGATTATCCTTGAAAAAAATGTATGCGTTTTGAGATGTAATTTACTAATTTTTTGTTCTCTCTGTGCAGCTGAAATGGCAAAGTGCTCACCACCTCCTACGTTGAGTCTCTCAAAATATGCTCCGTTGATACATATTATGAAGGTTTGCCTTCAACTCATTTTCCCAGAAGTACTCAGTCTAACGCCTTATGCCTTGAACTAAAGATTGTTGGCGTTTCATGTGCTGCAGGTCCATCCAAGCAAAGTATACTCTCTTATTGGTTCTGGTGGGAAGAAAGTAAAGAGCATCATTGAAGAATCCGGAGTTGAAGCCATTGATATGCAAGATGATGGAATTGTGAGATTTACAGAACTTTGCTTTTCATTGGTCTTAATGTTTTTGTACATAATCATAACCTTCTAACATGTCTCTTTGTCAAGGTCAAAATTATGGCAAACGATATGGCGAGTCTTGAGAGAGCGAAAGCCATTATCGGTGGATTGACAATGGTTCCAGCTGTTGGTGATATCTACAGGTATGTTTTTCTATACAATCTTTGTCTTTACATTGCATGGATTTGGAATCTGACCTTGCTTCTTACTAGGAATTGTGAAATCAAATCAATGGCTCCCTATGGTGCCTTTGTAGAGATTGCGCCTGGACGTGAGGGACTTTGCCATATCAGTGAGCTGAGTGCTGAATGGCTTGCAAAACCTGAGGATGTGAGCATTACCCATTTCTTTTATTCATATTTTATTCACACTTTCACATACACTCATCCACATTATTCTTGTCGTTTCAGGCCTATAAAGTTGGAGATCGCATTGACGTCAAACTAATAGAGGTCAGCGAGATCTTGCGTCTCTATAACTTCTAGACACATCATAACTAATTGGAAATGATAATTAGATGTGTTGTTGAACAAAGAAACATGGATAATGCAGGTGAATGAAAAAGGTCAGCTTCGGCTTAGTGTACGAGCTTTACTTCCGGAATCAGAGACAGACAAAGACAGTCAGAAACCACACCCGACGGGTGATTCTCCCAAAGACAAGGGTTCACCAAGGAAATATGTTAATGCTTCATTGAAGGACCGTGCAGCATCAAAAGTTGCATCAGGTGATGAACTTGTACTGAAGAAGAAAGATGTCAGGAGAGCATCTGGTGGTGACAAGCCAACAAAAAGCAATAGCAGTAGCAACGAAGAAGAGAGAAGCAGTTTAGTCAACGGTGAAGCTACAATCAGCTAGTGAAGGCAAACAGGATCAGTGTTCATATCTGTCTCTTGTGAAGACTCATTACGAATGGAGGAGAGTTTCTTCCAACAGAAACACAGGAGCGACTTGTGAAATCTTGATTCTTGTTTTTGTTTTGCAGAAAGCTCAGACGGCAAATTTGTGAGACAAGACAATTCGCAGATGTCTTTTCTTGAAATTGTTTTCTTAATGTTTCGTAGTTATTTATCTTGCAGCTTCTTGAAGCTGTGCATATGTATATGTTGGCAATTCTGGTGTGGAGGAGAATAACATTTTTGAACAGTGTCGTTGGCAATTCTGGTGTGGAGGAGAAATAACCACATAAAACCATATACTTAGCAAAAATGAGCTTAATTTATTTACAAAGAAAGTAACTTTATTCAATATTAAGCGTAAATAGTTATATACCCGGCCAGATACTCTCCAATTAACCAACGATATGGATAGGTTACACGTTGATTTTCCAAATTTTGAGCAGTAACCTATATTTACATCAATTCAAAAAGTTAGATAAATTATTATAACTCATATGTGAAATATTACAATCAGTCCTTCTCTTTCCATAGGAATGGATAGAGAACACAGCTCCTGAAACTTTCTGCCATCCAATGCCACAACCATAATAAGAAGCGTATTTGATATTTTCTGCAATGCATCAAAAGCTTCATGCACTTGTCCGCTATCGTAATAGAATTGTACTAAGTTGTGTGCCGCACACTCCTTGTCGGTTTGCTTCTTTGGATCCTCCACGCGGGATTCCTTCCGGATGAGAACCTTTTGCTCATCGGCATAGAGATGGAAGACAAAACCTGAAAATAATCAGATAGAATAATTTATTACCATTGAAACTCAAAAGTAAACTGAATATATAGGTATTTTCCGTTCGTATTTTTCTTAGCTTAATTTTCCGTCGAATTGATGTTAGTTTTTTTTATCTATTTAAAAGAATTCTAATAGTGAAAATTTGTTGGATTGCACAAATTTTGCAAATATTCAATTTCATAATGTATAAGTGTCTACAATAATGGACTTCAAATAACAAAACAGGATTTTCTATCTAATCTAAAGACTTCTAATGATGAGAATTGGTTGGATTGCATAATTTTGCAAGATATTGAAAAACACATCTATAAAAATAAAATGTTTCATTTCATAGCAAAAAGGATTTTATTTTATTTTAATCATTTTTATGAATCTTTATCCCAAAATCATAACCAAAATTAAAATTTTAAATATCACAGAACAACATAAAAAACTAGAAAATTTTATTTTATTTTACAATAATGGACATCAAGTAGCAAAAAAGATTCTCTATCTAATCTAGATACTTCTAATGATGAAAATTTATAAGATTGCACAATTGCATGATATTAAAAACACATCAATAAAAATAAAATGTTCTAATTCATAAAATGTGTTAAGTGTCTACAATAATGGACATAAAAAACAAAAAAGTATCTATAAATGTTAATATTATTATTTAACAAAACAAATAAATAAGTACAAACAAAACAAATAGCTCTAACACATAAAATTTTCTAGTTTTTTATGTTGTTATGTGATATTTAAAATTTTAATTTTGGTTATGATTTTGGGATAAAGATTCATAAAAATGATTAAAATAAAATAAAAGCAAAAGAAACGAAATACAAATATCAAACGTAATGAACTTACAAAAAAAATAACAACAATAGGAATAAACTGAAAAAACTGTTTATTAATATTGTAATGTTTAATTTTGTTTTAAGTACTTTTTAAAAAATCTGTGTAATTTTCTTTATTTTTATTTTCATTTGAAGATACAATAACTAATAATATTGAACCTACTAAAAATTAAATTAAAAAAATAAAGACAAATATGTCTGTATAAATCTTGCAAAGAAAGAATTTCCAAATTTTTCTCAAAATGAGAAATAACGTGAGCACTGCAATATCAGGCAAGATGATCTGTTGTTGGAACGTAACCCGCATTGTTCAGTAAGCTGTGAGACCGGCCATAGAAGAGATAGATCATGCTTCCAATAAGCAGCCATACCAAGACCCTGATCCATGTCCCAGCTCTGCCATTACAAAGACCGACAATGGTTTAGAAACATCCCAATATCTTGAGTCATACACATTCAAGATGGTCCATGAGACTCACTTACCCAATGTTGATGATCAAGTAGGTGTTGATCAAAATGCAGAGAACAGGAAGATATGGGACAAATGGGCAGAGAAACCCTGAGAGATAGAATCAAATCTAGAATGTCAGTAAGCAAACACGGTTCAATTATAAAAGGAAAAATATGACTCGGAAAAACTCCCTAAATGTGTCCTAACTAGTTACCCAACTCATCAAATGTATACCAGTATCCAAAGCTCAATGATGGCTTATATTCAATTGATTTCTCATTTTTTTTGTATGAATAGAAAAAAAAAGGCATAAATAAGCCTCAGGACGTACCTCCTTTGTGTCCAAAGTTGTGCCTTTCATCATCCTCATCGATGCATCCAAGAGTAATCAAGCTACCAAGCAAGATGGCAGCACTGACACCACATATAGAGAACCGAGGAAAACTGTCAAAGGTCAAGAAGATAACACATTAGAGGATATAACCTTTACAAAGATAGAAACATATAGGTCTTTCAACACCGTAGTTGAAAACTGTTTCACAAACAGGCAGGACAGGGATTTCTACTTGAGCAAGCTTAATCTCTTTGACATACAAGTAGCCGTAATGTCATTCAAAGCTAATCAACCAAATTGAACTCTTTGTGTAAACATAATTAGACGTCTCGAAATATATGCAGGGATAGTAGGATACTACTAAGATACCAGATGATGAACTGACATTGGAAGACGCTCAGCAGAAGCTGCTGAAGCAAGGCCTAGTACACCTATGCACACAAGAGCTATACTCCATGCAGCAACTTTTCTTCTCTTTCCAAAATACTTTTCATCTGTTCAATCAAAAATTAGCGTTCGAAATTTAAATTCCTTAAATGCAGATGAAAGGCACTAACGATTGAGCACATGTTAGTGCAGAGTCATCTTAGTAACATATACAAAGGGTAACTACGTGAATAAACACATTTTAGTACCTCGAGCTGTTTCATCGCCAAGTAGAGGGGAATCAGAAGATTCTATAGCATCCACAAGAGAATTTTCAGCTTCAGCTCTACTTTCATCGGTATCAGTCCAAGCTTGAGAGGAAGATGATAAGGGAACTCCATCTGGTGGTACATATCTAAGAACTAACACACAGGCTGCTACGGCAGTGAATGCCATCAGAGTGCCTACACTAACCTGTTACATAAATCACCGATGTGAGCTACTCAGAGAAGGAATTGTTATCGTAGGGAAGTGACTTTCCACCTCTCTCAACTCATTATGTAACACCAATTTCCACAATCTATACTAATCAAAATGAACCTCAATTTTCTGTTTGCCACTAATTATTGTACGTGAAATCATTCCAATAGGACACTGAGACATGTAATGTAGGCAAAGATGAGCTTACCATCTCAGACAACTGTGAAACATCCATGAAAAATGCGAGCGCAGCAGCCAGCACACCAATTGCAATTGTGCTTTTCACTGGTACTTGGGTTCGTGGACTAATTTCTGAAAAGAAAGCTGGCAACAATCCGTCCCTAGCCATTGCCATGAAGATTCGAGGCTAATAAAAGAAATCACAAAGCACTGTCAAAAATGACATGAGTGCATATACCTAGCACTGAGCTAGTTTTACTAGCTAGGAAATCTCATTTACAGAATCTACTGAGCTTGGGGTTTTCGAAGGAGTAAGATATGGTTAGTACCTGAGCCAGAAGCGAACCCAACAAACTCGCGCACAGAGCAGTTATTGCCCCAGTGGTTAAGATGTAACTGAAATATATAGAAAGAGTAAAGAGAAAACGCATCAAGAAAAAAGTAAAGGAAGCTCATGGAATCGAGAGAAATTTGCGTCTCAAGAGATGTATCATGCTTACGCTGCCCATTGCATGCCACTGTCTCCAAATGCAGAGGAGATAGGAGTATCAGGATTCAAAGAATAGTATGGAACTAATCCAACAATAACCACAGATAAAAGCATATACAGGATGCAGCATATCAGCAATGCAATCCCGATGCCCAATGGAAGATCCCTTTGAGGATTTTTAACCTGTTGTGGCAATACCAAAAGTTTTAGAGCTTAACAGAGAAAATTGGCGGAATTATTAAAGAAAGAGTTCACAATCCTGAGACCAAACAAGGATAATATTTCGAAAAGAACGAGCCTACTATTCAAAAAACTGTGTACCTCTTCAGCCGTGCTAGTTACGGTATCAAATCCGATGTACGAGAAGAATACTACAGCAGATCCGGCGAGTATCCCATTTAATCCAAAAGGAAAATACCTGTAAAGACAAGAAGTAAGCTAATAATTTTTCGACACAAAACTAAGCTCAATGGAAGAAGAAGAATATGATTAATTACCCACTCGGAAGATCATATCCAACCCATCCAGTCTTGAAAGCTAAATATCCACCAACTACTATGATGAAAACCAAGGTGCAAACATTCACTGATGTTACAATTGCTTGTACTAATGAGCTCTGTGAAGACAAAAAAAATAAACCCGCACTGATGCTGTTAAAGGATCTAATCATCCTGAAGTGAGATTCATTTCAAAGGTTTCAAATGAGGTACCTCCTTTATCCCAAAGCATAGTAGTATTGTGACAATCATAATCAACAGTGCTGCACATGGATCAACCACAATACCAAGTCCAGGTATGGTTTGTCGGGCTAAGAAAACAGGAAGATTGTCCAAGCCTCCAAAGAAAGATGCCTATAACAAAAATACCGGTCAGAATAAAATCCACAAGAACCAAGGAATTACATATAACTCAAAAGGAATATACATACCAGATTTGGAGTTATGCCACGGGCAATGGCCGATCCACCAATTGTATAATCCAACACCAGTGCCCAACCAACCAACCAAGCAACCCTATGATGAATTAAGAACATCGAGAGTATCAGCTTTAAGACTAATTAACAACAACAGGCAATGAATGTTTCAGTAGTTTTAAGACATAAAAAAATCCATCTATTACCCTTCTCCAAGACATATGTATGCATAATGATAAGCACTCCCAGCAGATGGACAGCGAGAAGCAAGCTCAGCATAACAACACGCCGAGAGAGCAGCTGCTACTCCAGCAATGAAGAAGGAAACAGCAAGAGCAGGTCCTGTGTGTTCTCTAGCTACTGTTCCCACTAGAATATACACTCCTGCTCCAATTGTTGTTCCAACTCCTGACAAATTAACAGTGAAAGGAACACAATCATCAACATCGATAGGAACAAAGAAATGGGGTAAAAGGAAGAAATTGATCGATTCTATTAACAAAAATTGGGAAAAGTTCGGATTTTTCTCATACCAATAGCGACAAGGTCAACGGCGGTTAATTTCTTGGCGAGCTGATGATGATGATGACCATCGTCAGTTTTCAGCTGAACAGAATCAACTTGTTTCCTTCTCACAAGACTGTTCAAACCCCATGAACCACCGTTCTCGTTCATATCAACCAACCCACAGACGAAAATAAAGAAAGACTCCACAGACGGATTTGATTTTCCAATAGCTTCAGAGCCAACACATTTGGTTTCTCTGCCAGAAAATCCAACAAAAGTCAAATCTTTTTGCTCTTAAACAGATAACTGAATCCAGATGGTGTATCGGAGCCGGAGATACTTGGAGAGGCTTGCACGAATGTAACTTTTGTGAGATGGTGAATCAAGATCCTCGTTGGTAAGATTCTCGAACGGTTGGTCAGATGACGTTTGTGATTTGTTTGTTTTTCGATACACGAATTATCCTTTCAAACAACTCCTGAGTTGTGAATTATCCTACGAAATTTGTCTAACCTCAAATTATTAACATTTACAGGTTTTTTACTTTCTCTCTTCCTTTTTTTTACTCTAAAACTCACAATAATTTTTTTAAATTGAAGATCACATTGTATGGCCATTTTTAGCTAAGGTAAATGGTCTAGCTAAGGATTGGATAATAGCATATAGATACATGATATCACCATTTTAAATGACAACATAAAAGCAAGATTTGTTTCTCTTTATTGAAAGATTTCTGTGGAGATTTAATATCAAGAACACAATTTCTGTTTTGATAAAAATAGCACATTCACAATTATTCTTGACTTCTTGTCAATTTATGTGAATTATTAAAACATGATGAGTTTTACAAGCAAAAAGATTTTATAGAAATTTAAACTTTTTGGTTCAAAAAAACTAGCAAAACTCTGTTTCCACAATCTAAATAGAAAATGCCAAAATATGAAACTTGCTATTGTAGATTTAATGCAACCATCTTCCACCAAAAGTGGGGAAAAACCAACGAGCATCCTTAAAATGTATTGGCGAGGAAGCAGTTAGATGATCAAACACTTGGATAACCTTGCCGGTATTGATATGGTAGACGCATAAACGGTTATCATCTTTGCATAGACTAAAATATATGCAATTTCTCATAACTCCATCTTTGGCTGCAACCGTTATCCCTAGATCCAAAAGCAATACTTGGTCCCCTATAGAGTTGGTAGATATCCATATGCTGATGATTTCGGATCCAACTTGAAGACGTTGAAGATGCGTCTCCCGGGAGATAGTTCCACGCTTGCAATGATCAAAATTTCTCCAGACAAAGTCACAGCAATATTGTTGAGATGCGGTCTATGAAGGAAATTACGCGTAGGTGGCAAACTTGCACATTCCATTGGAGAATCACTGCCGGAGAAATCAACAACAGTGACGTTTCGAGTGGTACCAAGCACGTAAAGCTTACCTTGTTTAAACACCATATCGACGCAGCCAACTTCATGATTCTTAAAAGGATTGAGCAATTTCCAGGTTTCTTGATTATTATCTCCTTTCTTGTAATATGCAAACGAGCTAGCAGAACTCCACACGACTAAGTAATCTCTACTTGTTTCATCAACCCACAAAACGGCACTGCCTACTCTAACGTCCTCGAATGATTCCATAGACGGAAGAGGAAGCCTCTCACGAGTAAACAGATTCACAAGATAAAAATCGGATCTATGGACCAACATCAGGAACCAGCTTCCTGAACTAGCCAAACAACGACTCGTAGCGAAATCAAACCCGAGATGATCATCTTTTATCGTGTAAGACTTATGGTCAAGAGGATCGTACAGCTTACATGAATTACCGTCCGGAAAAAGGATGATCCATGGAGTTTTAGGGTTTGTTACTCCCATGCATGATTTCGAAGCGGAATACCATGCAGAAGAGACGCATCTGGCTCGATGAAAATCAACAAAGCTCAAACGTTCCAAGATCGATCTAATCACGTCATGGACAAGTATCGGCTGCTTTGCATCGCTGCATGTCTTTTCCTTGGACTCGATCATTATCATCATCGATTAGCTAGGGTTTTGTTTCTTCGGTTCTTATTTATAGGGACGTACGAGGATAAATAACCAGAGTTGTTGATTTTACCGGTTGGACCGGAACGGTTTTATAAATCATATGCCAGAAATTGGGAATAACTAAACGAGATAAATTATACTATGAGTTATGAGTTCGGCTATTATTTTTTGTCGACTTCTGAAATTTTCTTTTATATTGTTGAAGTTTTTATCTAAAATGGTTTGCTTTATTAATCTGAATTGAGTAAAAAGCTCAATTTTCCCACAGATTTGGAAGCAAACTTCAGTTTTAATTGATTTGAAGCAAACTGGTGTTTCATTTTGCATCTTGCAAATGTCAAATTCTATATTGTATTTCGTGTGAGCTTATTTTAAATTTAAAAATAATTACATAATTACATAACGGTGATTCGATATCGATGAGAGAGTATATATCTCTCAAAGATAATTTACCAATATTCTCATGTGATTGCATTCCCCCTTTTTTTAGGAAAATTTATCCTCTCTAATTCGTAATTTTTTTTCTATTTTTCTCCAAGTTTACTTTTTCTTTGGTTTGGTTAAATAAAAGCCCTAACGCAGTTGACTATGATCACAAGTCCACCAACGAAGGAGATGATCGTTTCCGACGAAAAGACAAGCGATTCAAAGCGGCTGAAGCTTGTCCCCGAGCTGGTTAGGGTTTGATTCTAATTAGAACAGATAACTGAATTTGAATTGTTTCGAACAAAAAAAAAAAGAGGGAACTGAACATTATTTTTCTTCTGTTTTTTGATGGTTGACACAGAACCCAATATGGTCCCTGGAGGACATAAATATGGTGAAGCCCGGAAAGGTTCGAACTTTCTCGCAAAATTCCCTTAAAAATGACAACTTTAATTTCTGGCAGAAGAACGAAGCTTATATATATTCACTTCTTTTTGTTTTATGAATTTTGTTTTGTTTTGCAGATAATAATCAAAGGGAAGGCAGTTTCAGGGTGTGGACGCGAGATAGAGAGGCTGGAAATATCACTGGACCGGTGGAAATCGTGGGTGGAAGCTTCCGGAAACCAAGACAAGAAATCGGCATGTATGTCGTTTGAAGCTGAAGCCACTATTGATGATGATGATGATGATGTTTCACAGTCGACCATCGATGTCATCGCCAAAGAGATAAAAGTTAGGGCTATAGTGAGAAATTATAAACCACTATCATCATCATCAGAGCAGCAGCAGCAGCAGCAGATGCTTGTCCCTGACCTGATTCGATCGGTCTTGGAACGCTTGAGCTTTGCAGAGTTTCATACAGCCAGGTCCATTTCTTCAGATTGGTATTCCAATGCAGAATCATGCACCAGACAGAGCCCAACTCCATGGCTTATCCTCTTTTCAACTAGTCATGATCATTTGGACGACAACATCAACAATGTTTCATGCAAGCTGTTTGATCCTCATGAAAACAAAACCTACATAGTAAGAGATCTCGGGCTTGGTTTTCACAACAGCCGTTGTTTGGCTAACTCTGGTAGCTGGTTCCTGATGTTAGACCATAGAACCAATTTTTATCTTTTGAATCTGTTTACTCGAGACAGGATACGTCTTCCTTCTCTGGAATCAATTGACGGATGTCAGATGAGGCTTGAGAGGGTTTCTGAGACCGATTTCTTGGTGAACTTGTATTATGAATCTTCTGGTAATTTTTCTTGTGGTCAGATCAGAAAAATTAGAATAGGCAATGCGGTTTTGTGGGTAGATGAAAGAAGCAGAGATTACTTTGTTGTGTGGAACCTTGACTGCTTTTTTGCATATCACAAGAAAGGAGATCATAACAAGAGCTGGAAAGTGTTTCAGCCTTTAAAGAATCAAGGCTGCGTCCATATGGTGTTTAAAGAAAGCAAGCTTTACGTGCTTAGTCTAAGTCGAAACATCACTGTTTATGATTTCTCTGGTGGTGGTGATGATGCTCCAAAGGAATGTGCGAGTTTCCCATATCAGGGTTTTCAAATTCGTGACAAACAGCATTTCAACGATCTTGCTTTAACTTTGTCCGGAGAGGTTTTGATCATCGCAGGCAGAGTGAAGCTCCCAGAGATATGCTACTTCGATGTCTACAAGATGGACCCACAAACATCAAAGTGGATCAAAACCTCTTCTTTAGAGAACGAGGCATTGTTTTTGGATCTAGGAACAACGGTTGCAGCTGAAGATGGACTTGGAAAAAATTGCATATATTTTAGTAATGATCAGTTTCATAGATACAATGGGATTAGCATATGCTCTGAAAATAGTAGTATTTGTGTCTACAATATTCAAACCAACAAGGTTGTCCAAAGGTTTCCACACCTTGCCGCTTCATCTCCAAAGCTTTTCAAGGATGCTCGTTGGTTTTTCCCAACTTTTGGTGGCAAGTGGTTGCTTTAAAGCTGATCAGGTTTTGTGTTTGTTTTTTTTTGTTAGGGCTTATTATATTTCTTACAAATTACTGTTTACAATCAAAAGGGCATAAAGACTGTTGCCAAGCATTTATCAGATTTTTTTTTTTGGTTTTTAATCTCTGCAAAATAAAAAAGATTCTTACATGTGAGTTTATATTGATGATGAGTGGTCTATATGTAGTGTGAGTGACTCCAATTATTATGAATAGTAAAAGTTACTCACATTTTGAAATGACAAAAACCTAAGCAAACTTGTTTTATTAGTCAAAGCTCCCTACATAAATTAAAAGCAGCCGTAATATTATATGTATTCAGGAAGTAAAGTGTGTTCATGTTGAATAGGATTAAAACGTTCTTACATCAACGACGAGTGTTCAGTTGATTATAGCGACTCCAATTATTACAAACAACATTTTACCATCTCCTATGATCCTTGTCTCTGCAGCTCTGTCCAGCCACAGCATCCGACCGTGGAAACACCAAGTTACAAGATGTCAAACACCAATGTCTGATCCTACCTCGGCTTACTAGGATTCTTCTCCTTTGGCTATTTATTAGCTCAATCTTCTGCCATGGGGTCATCACTGTTATTGTTGTTGTCATTATTGCTTCTACCGCTTGCATTAGCGTTCACGAGTTGAACCCAAACACTCTGACTTCTCTCTCCTCCTCCTCCATTGATATCTCCCCAATTCTGTAGTTGCCTTCCGCTTCTCTCATTTGTGTCAGCTCCACCGTCTGAGAATTGTGCCCACACGCTTCTCGTCTTCCCTCCTCCTCCGCTTAACTCCTCTTCGCATCCCGCAACTGTTTTCAGAAGCTCAGACTGAAGTGATGGGCAGTGTTCCCTTAGATAGTCAAACCCATCTGACCTCATAACAGCTGTTGCATCATAATAGCAAACAAGCAAAGCAAAGGGTTATTGCAAAATATATTTGGAGTTTTGGTGCGGAAGCAACTTCAGATATGAGAGACATTTATTTACCGATGAGATTTTCCGCTGCGAATTTCAGACAAACTGATTTCAAGGCTGAAGCATTGTAGCGGTCAGCAAGGGCTAAAATGTTTGCGACGGAATCTACTGATATATCCTTGCACAGCACTGACTCGCACATTAAACTGAGTCTAGGCAACTTGTATTTATCAGCGGCTCCTAACAGCTTTGCAGCTAATGTGTCCGATGCTGACGGACCAACAGATGAACCGGAAGATGATGATGACTCTGCATCTTCGATGAGAGCATCCTTGTATATGTAATGGAGCAAAGCCTTCACCGAAAAGTGCATCAAGAATTAGAGCAAAGCCAACACATACTCTATGTCAAAAACGTTGAGAGAAAGTTTACCTTGAAAACCTTAGGTTCCATGTCAGTAACTTCGATATCACGATCTTCTTCTTCTTCGGAGACATCAAGAAACTCGCTTTCAAAGACAGGAGATCGAGCAGCCAATACCAACCTGTGGGCACGGAACTTTTCACCAGAGACATTAAAAGTAATATCTGAACCGTCCTCATTCTCCAGAAGCATCCCAAAATGAGATCCAATATCAGATTCAGGGACATGAATAGAATGTAACCGTGGGCAATCTATTTCTGAGACCACAACGCCCACGGTGCAATTAATTTTCAAACAATCATCCTTGAGGTAATCAGATGTTTCCAGCAAAGTTCTTCTGAAAAATCGTTTGTATCCCCTGCAAACAAACAAAACTGAATAAGAATCTGCTGAGGAAACAGGCAAGTACAGAGAACTATGAGGGAATGGACGCTAACAAGCAGAGAACAATTTAAGGGTCTATCTAATGCAGAGTCAAATCCAATGCCAAAGACCTTCAAGAAGGATCCAGCAGACAATGATTGGAATAACTCACAATGGTATCATCACTTCATATTGAGTGAGTGCAAAGGACTACTAGGTTGCTTAACCCATACAAACGGCATAAAACCTACCCATGAACAGATTCATAAAGAATATATAGATATTTGCTTCAAGTGCTCTCTTTCTGTAGGTCACAGTTTCAAGCAAGCCCAAACAAAAAAAAAAGCTAAACAGCCTCTAAAACAAACTATAACACAAAGAAAAGAACTTCCGTTTGTCTTCTCACTTCTGAATGCTCTCTCACCACCCATCTTTCAATTCCATATTGTAAACTCATAGCTACTTGTCACACAAAATATCAAATACATTGTAAACTCATAGCTACTTGTCTTGAACAATCAACACCCTTTTTCTATCCCAAGATTCCAGTTTTCATGAAACCATAACACGTTCAACAGATAAGCGTTAAACAACTGACAGTAAGCTAGAATAGTAGAATCATATCTTGCCAGAAAAAAAAAAAAAAAAAAAAAAAGAGAGAGAGCAGAATTCAATTGAAATGTTCATCAAACCCTAGCAAGAGCTAAAGACAATGGGAGACAAAGACAAACCACATGCTCCCGCGATACTTGAGGGTATATGGACCACTCTCAAGAGAACGATCGAAGTGGCTATGGACCTTATGCTTCCCTTTCCCGCTCTGATCAAGCAACGAAAGCTCAAAGAGAGCCCTGACATCGGTGCCATCGCTGGCCAGAGCAATGAAAACGGAGACGTAAGCCGAATTATCCTCCGGGTTCTTGCCGTCGGGATAGAAATAGATTGCCCACTGGTATCCACCGACGGTGAAAGTGTCACTGGCGATGTGTTTTCCGATCCCGATTCCTTTGGCCAGCGAGTATCCCTTGATTGTGAAGCTGTGCGATCCGTTTATCGTTTGCGTGACGGAGAGAGAAGTCGTCGTCGGTTGCGACGGCATTTCCGATTATCCGTCGTCTTCCCCTTCTTCTACGAATTATTCTCCGACGGATTCTCTTACTAGTTTTCTCCCTTTTTTGTTATGGTTTTTTTTTTCCCTGGGAAATTGAATGAGAGAGAGATAGAGATTAAGGATTATGTAACTTCACAATTAGTTTAATTAATGAATGTGTTTTGTCGGAAAAAAAAAAAGAAAAGAAGAAAGAATGAGAGATAGAGAGAGAGAGAAAGACTTTTCAACACGGCTTTTAGTTAGCTCACTGACACGAACGGTCGGAATAAAGATTAGTAGAGATTACTTACTTAGGCACCGACGGTAATAACAAAACTAATAAAAAGTCATTGACTTAATCCACTTATCATACCAGATAAACCGAACCGGAGTGATAAACTATTGTTGGGTCGTGGTTTTGTATTTGACTGGAATCAGGTCAACACAAACAATTTGGGGGTTAGAAAGATGGAGGGATCACAGTCGAAGAAGCCTCGTCTCGGGGAAACCCAATTCATTATTCCGGCCACCGATCCATTCCTCCGATGTGCGAGTTTGATTCTTCCATGGCTAAACCCTCAAGAGCTCGCCGCCATCTCTCTAACTTGCAAAACCTTATCCATGATTTCAAAATCACTCACTTCCGGGCGATCCCTCGACGCTACACGGTCCCTCGAAAACCTCCCTGTCCCGTTTTGCAACGCCGTCGATTCCAAACGTTACGCGTATTTCATCTACACACCGTTTCAGATTCCCGCTTCCTCTCCTCCGCCGCGCCAGTCGTGGGGATCCACCGTCGTTAGCCCTGCGATTAGAGTTAAGTCAGTTCTTGACTCAGCGAGTGAACGCGGACGGTTTGGGGTGAGTCTAGTGGACGAGTCAGGAGAGAAAAGGTATGGATGCGAGTGCCAGAGATGCGAGGAAGGATCCTGCGCGTGCTTATCACTCGCGGGCGTGGAGGAGATAGCTAACGAATGTGGGTCGGGTTGTGGGTGCGGGTTGGATTGTCCGAACCGGGTGACCCAAAAGGGGATTTCGGTTCGGCTGAAGATCGTTAGAGATGAGAAGAAAGGTTGGAGCTTGTACGCTGATCAGCTCATCAAGAAAGGCCAATTCATCTGCGAATACGCTGGTAACATTTCCCCAACAAGCCTTTCTCAATTGGCAGTGATCGTTTTATTGCGAAAGTTTATCACTTTTTGGATATGTTTTATCTTGCGAATTAGTAGTAATGTTACTTCACAAATCCCAAAATGCTAGAACCATATTGATTCCAGAATAGTGTAGTGATCATATGTATTGCAATAGCTGAATTATTTTGGAAGATGAAAATTAAGTTCAAGGGAACATGATTAGATGAATATTAGCATTGGTTATTAGACATTAACATCGATAGCATAGGAGTTTTACTTCGAGATCAAAGATAAAAGGCAAATCTTGATTTCGGTTTCTCTTTTTACAGGGGAGCTATTGACAACGGAGGAAGCACGTAGACGTCAAAATCTCTACGACAAACTCAGATCAACACAATCCTTCTCTTCAGCTCTTCTGGTCATACGTGAGCACCTCCCTTCAGGAAAAGCCTGTTTAAGAATAAACATCGACGCCACGAGAATCGGGAACGTTGCTAGATTCATAAACCATTCTTGTGACGGCGGAAATCTCTCCACAGTTCTGTTGAGAAGCTCAGGAGCTTTGCTTCCTCGGCTCTGTTTCTTTGCAGCAAGGGACATACTTGCAGCCGAGGAGTTGAGTTTCAGCTATGGAGATGTCCGTCTCACTGCCGGGAAGAACAGGGACAACAAGTTAAATTGCTGTTGTGGTAGTTCTTGCTGTTTTGGAACGTTGCCTTGTGAGAATACCTGATTTTTCTCATCATCGCCTTCTGGCTCTATCTGTCCTAATGTCTAAATTCGAGTTTATGTTACTAGCAAAATACAAACCAGCCAAAGCAATGAAAACGGATACATAAGCCGAATTATCCTCACTTTACTTCCTCAGCTTTTTTTATAGGGCTTTTGGTTATTCGACGTTTGACCGTATTGGCCTTTTCAGGAAATAAATATAATACTGTAGTAAGAAACTAAGAATTTTGGTCATACCAAACCGTGCTTCCATTTTAATTCTCATGAAACTAGACTTATAATATTTAGGCTAGATTAAAAACAATATAAATTGTTAAGAGAATGTGTAGGGTTATTTAATCAATGAGAATCTTTTCAATGGAAATTTAGATAACGTTTATAGTTCCGTTAATTAAAGAATGATGTATAAAATTATATATAAATAAATTTGACAAATTAGTAAGGAAAAGAAAAGGGAATAATGTTGTGAAGAAAAGGAGCACGACGGACATGAAGGTTGGTTAGCTTCCAAAGAACTCCACACGAAACGGTCAACACGATTCTTGTGCCTCTCTTCCCTCAGACATAAACTTATACACACCAACACATATATATACTTATGTATCCATACGAATACGATACTTAATTTATACTTAGATGCTGCTCGATCGTATACAGTTTGTTATTAATCATTGCAATCCTACACTTCTTACTCTTAATCTTTTGTGACAACGGAACTATATATTTTCTAATTTGGTCTGCTTGAACTTCTTTTTATAAATAATGTGAAATTTTGTTATAATGAAATGCATGATGCATCACTATTATCTAAGATATAAGGAAAAAACTTTTGAATGCAGCTTCTATTGTACTTAGTCCTCTTAAACACTTTTCGTAAAAATATTTTACTATGAACTATAAACAAGCACTAACTGTTGATGACTAGGTTTTTTGTGTGCTAAAACAACTTTTGAGATTAATTTAGTCCTTGAATCGTACAGAAAAAGATCAAGTCACTGAACGAATTATAGATCAAGTATATATATCGCAGGTGAATCATTTTTTGGGGATTAATATAATAATACAATGACTGCATTCACTCTGTTATTCGGTATACCATTATTTTTCTTATTATATATAGCATCATGAAATTTAGTTGAATATTTTTTATACATATAACGATTTACTGTTTATAACAGATGAATTAAATTGCAACATATGGTAACAGATTATCAAATTTGCACCAACATCTTCTAGTGATAGACTTCAACTTCTAACTATAACTAATATTTAGAACTTAAATAGATGACCTGAGAAAATAACAAGTATATTCACTCTCTTTGCACGTGCACCTCATATCACACCTTCTTCCCATTTATACGCTCTTTCTTGCACCTAACAATACCAACCATACTGATTCTAGACTCTCTACATACATGTATAGTCGTGAGGGTTTTTCTAACATCGGTTTACAAGATACATCGAAACTAATACAATTAAGCATTCTTTCTAGCTTTTCAAAATATTCCATCCGTTTTTTAAAGAATTTTCTTCCTTTTACTGTTTTACCTAAAGACAATATTTTTTTAGGTTTTCTATATTTTTTACTTAATTAATGATGTTAAAAATTTATTGATTGAAAAAAAACGAATTATTATGGGTTTAGAGTTATGATGATAAATTTTCTACCATATACATGATGCATTTATAAATAAGTATCATTTTTTCTTTTAAAATTAAGAACTCAATTTAATCCTACTACTTTTCCCATCATTCTACTATTTTATTAATACGCCAACTCAAATAAACTTTTTTTTTAGCAACCTCAATTAAACTTTATGTGATTTGTGTTACCGATAGATAGATAAATCGTGTTAAACTTATACTCCTTATGTAAGCAGTAATTACTTCTTTTGTAACATTTAATTGAGTCAACAATGTTTTACATGCTTTTCTCCAATTTGACTATTTGAAACGTTAAAACTTTAGAAGTTTTAGTTGTGTAGTGAGTAACGTATAAGTAAAAAGTAGAACGATGAAAACAAAGTGAAAAGGTTAAAAATGTATGGATGTGTCATGTGTCCTACTCTATTTTTTCATTAAAATATAATGTAGGATTCATATATATATAAATATATATATATATGTAAATTTTAACAATATTTATCTGTGGTTAGGTAAAAAGAATTCGAATTATAGAAATACTTAACCGATAATATAGCTACTATTTGTATTATGTGATTATTTAAATTTCAAATAAAATTATGAAAAAGGAAAAAAGAAAGATTACCACATTCACCTCGCGACCTCCTTCATGAAACAAACGTGGCCTCCTCCGTTTTTTCTTTTACTTATATAGTCACATACACACATGTTACACTCACATCGTTAAAGATTAACATACATATATAGATAGATAGATATAATCTGTTTCACAAGAAACTCTCATCCACTTAACTAATTAATGTTTGTTTTGTGATGGCTGATCAGCAGCGAGGCCACAACACCTCAGATTCTCGCCGGCAATCAGCAGCCGGAAAACGAACCTCATCACAACATACTACGACGTCATCATTATCCTCCAACGGAGGAACCATGGCGGCTGCTGCGACGACGGGGACGGGGGCAGCTTCGCCGTGTGGGGCTTGCAAGTTCTTGAGAAGGAAGTGTGTGAGTGGATGCATTTTCGCCCCACATTTCGGGTCGGACCAAGGAGCGGCTAGGTTCGCGGCGGTCCATAAGGTTTTCGGAGCCAGCAACGTGTCGAAGCTCTTGCATCATATTCCGGTGAACCGTCGCCATGACGCGGTGGTTACGATCTCATATGAGGCTCAGGCTAGACTCTCTGATCCTGTCTATGGCTGCGTCTCCACGATTCTTGCTCTCCAACAACAGGTGACTTATTACATACAATGTTTATACTACATGTATATCTAATGGAAAAATGACTAATATTTGATTAGCTTTTTTTGTTATCACATATTTCCCTATATTTGTTATTTAATTAGTAAAGTTTGTAACGGTTAAAATGGGCGAGGGACGTAAATGAAAGTTGAAGATAAACAAAATATAAAAGTAGCAATAAAGAACCCTTAATTCTAGCCAAAAAAAAAGAGTACATGTAAAGTAAAATATTTAAAATTTTCAGTGCTTATTTACTCAACGAAATGTTATATGAAAGTTCGCATTTTCATATAAAAACTTATTGCATGACGTCAATAAAAAATGATTACTTGATTTTAAATTTTGTATAGCTAAAGAAAAATGAGAAAGGAGAACTGCTGATTTTGTCGCCTATTAGTCGGCGACAATGTTAACACGGTAGTTAATTACTAGTCAATTTCGATAATTTATTGGTTTCAATAAATTTGCTTTTCTCTTCATATTTTTTTGTTCTTTTATTTATTTTTCCCAACGATGTATCTACATGTTTCATTCCGACTAATAATTGAATACATTTACTTAAAGTTTTCTTTGTCAAGTTCAAATTTCCTAAGTTACTTTGAAAATTTAAGAATATAGATGATCATCTCTATATATTTAAATAAATAAATAAAAATTTGTAACCGCAAATATGTTAGGTGGCCTCGCTACAGGCGGAGTTATCGCTGGTGCAATCACAACTAATAAACAGTAGAGTCGCAATGGCCAACGTTATGCAACAACAAAGTCATCACCAACAACAACAACAACAACAACTAGTCGTTATGCAACAACCCGAATACTCCAACAACTCCTCCGCCTCCACTACTCTTGCCGGAGCCGCCATGAATAGCTTTGCCGCTGCGGCGGAGGTAGCAGCCGCCGCCAGCTATGACGTCATGGCTAGGGCTAACTTAGAACATTCTTTGCAACCAATGCCATCGCATCAGCAAGGTAGAAGAGATCATCAGCATGAGGATGAGGAAGAGAGCGGTGCTGATTTTTCGGTCGCTGTTGGTTCGACGGCCGTCGCTCCGGATGTTATATTTTCGGAGGAGGGTTTTCACCGGAGATGAATATATATATATAACTAGGCTTGTCTTTAATTTATACATTTCCTTTTTTTTAAAACATATTGAAAACCTAGAGATAGTAAGTCAGTAACCAACATACGCATACGGTATCTACCGTATAGCCGTGAAATATTTTAATGAGATAACTAGTTATCGTATAGGTTAAAATACTTGATTTACTTTAACATAAAAAGTTATTTGATTTTACATTGCGTTATAACGGAAAGGTGCGTTAGTTTATCATAATTCATCAATATAAACTTCAAAAAGGTTTTACTCTAGACTAAAATGTTTAGAAATGATCTCCACTAAATTAAGAAACGATATCCACTAAATTAGAAATGGAGCCTAACGTAATTGTTATTTTTTTTTTTTTGGAGAGAATGAGCCTAACGTAGTTGAGATCGTTTCTTATGAATATATTGTGAGAGTATATTATCAAAACTGTTATCTAGATCACCGTAAGTAATTTTCACGATTTGCACTTTTAATTAAAATATAGGAGATTGGCGTCCTCAATTATTGAGTCTTGACTAATACTATTAACAGTTTTGATCATTTCCAACAAATAAATAAACAACAGAAAGTTCTTGAAAAAGAAAAACTATGATCATTATAGATAGAAGTGAAGAACAGACAACGGACCAAACAAAAACCCTTGTCTCTCTACCTCTCATGTTCTTCATATCCTGCAATTTACAAACACATGAATCAATTGATCATAAAATATCTCAGATCAAGAAACTCATTCAATCTCAAATTAAAATCTTATATTCCCTGAATCAATTGATCATAAAATTAAAGGCATTGCAATATCGATTTGAAACTACCTGAATCTCGGGGAGATTCGAGTGTTGTTATGTGTAAACGAGAGGGAGGAGGAAGAGAGGAAGCTGCAGGAGAAGGCGAGCCACGAATGCTCGGGGAGTTGCTGTTTTGTAGCCAACCTTCTTGAACTTGAGAAGCAAACTGAAGATTCCACAGGACATCTTCAATGGAAGGCCGTTCTAAAGGGTCTTTAAGGAGACACCTTACACATATCTCCATCATTGTCTTCAGTGATTGGTCTGAACCATTTCTATGGACTGTTGGATCTACCATGCTCCTACGCGCTCCATCATCCGCTGAGATGCTCGCTTGT